TTTTTGCTCAGTTATTCCAACACATGCGTTCTGTACTCAAAGTTAGGTGTATTGAGTTACACGTTTTTAAGCTTTATCTAGGTTTAATTGGAAAAAAAAATAAGCGGCACGTATTTAAAGAGTAAAGATGAGTTTTGACATACATGTACACCCATGAAAACATCATCACAATCAACATCACAACCCTATCTGTCGCCTCCGCAAGTTTCCTAATGGACCTTCGCAATTCTTCGCTTTCTACCCCTAGACCCTCTCTCCCTTCCCAGGCAACCACTGACCTGTTTTCTGTCACTAAAGATTAGTCCATATTTTCCAGAATTATATATGAATGGAATGACCTATGATGTATTCTTTTTTGTTTGCTTGTTTGTTTGACTTCTTCCTCTTTGAGATTTCCTCTAGGCTGTGGCAAGTATCCATAGAGCGCTCCTTTTTGCTGCTGGGTAACATTCTATTGTCTGGCTATTCCACTGCTGTTTACCGTTTACTCATTTATCGGTTGCTGGACATTAGAGATGTTTCCAGTTTTTAACTACTACCAAAAAAAAAAAAAAAGCTGCTGTGATCAGTCCTTTATGAATATGCTTTTGTTTCTAGTGAAATACAATTCACTTATAATAAAATTCACATTTTAACGTGTACAATTCTATTTGACAAATGCGTGTAGCATACAAGTTGACAGGTATACACAGCCATGGAACCGCCACCACAGGCAGGCTTTCGAGTATTTTCATCACCCTAAATACTTCCCTTGAGCCCCCTTTCTCTACTACTAGTGCCTGGCAGCCACAATCTCATTTCTGTCTCTGTAGCTCTGTATTTTTATTTTTAGACTGTCATATAAGTGGAATCACATACTGTATATACCTTTTCGTGTCTGACTTCTTTCACTGAGCATACGGATTTTGAGATTCAGCTATATTTTTTGCACATATCAGTAGTTTATTCCTGTCTGTCGCTGACTAGTAATGGAATGTGGTATCTTACATTGCGTGAATATCTGTTCACTAGTTGCTACCCATTTGAGTTGTTCCCAGTTTTTGGCAATTATTAGTAAAGCAGCCATAAATATTCCCATACAGGTGAGCATGTATTTTCATTTCTCGTGAGCAAATATCTAGAAGTGGGATTGTTTGGTCACATAATAAGTGTATGTTTATAAGTACATTGATAATTAAGCTCTGCTTTCTAATACTTTGATCTATGTCCTTCTTTTATATTAGCTAACTCTTCATTTTCCTCATCTAAATTAGATTCCATCTTTCATTTCAAACATCTGTCGTTCATATCCTCAACTCCATGTCCCATTACCTTTCTGCCAAACTCACCTTACAAAACTCCATCTCCTGAATCAACCCAAACATCCCTTTTCTCTATACCTATTCTGAGACTATTTTGCATATCTTGAGAAAAATCATTCAATGCACATATTGATGTGACATAAATCGGTGGCATCTAACACTGTAGGGAAATCTTTCAGTGTTTTCCTAGTTAGCTCATATTCTCTCCAGAAAGCTATATCAAACCTAATCTATTCCTCTCAAGCTTCAGTTCCCACTTCCACCCCCCTTCTCCTGCTGAGGTCTCAGGAGGTGGTCTCTCAGCTGACTCCCTCAGATGCCCTTGGTCACGCACCTGCCTGCATCTGCATTCTCTCTCGCCTCCTTCCCTTCTGCCACAATGAACTGTGAACCTTGGCTCTGGGTGCAGGTCTAATCTCTCCATCTGTGCATTTCCTCCTAGTTTCTCAATCTTTATTCTATACAACTCTCCTATGCTCTACATCTTCACCGTTTTTCTCGCTGGTAGATCCTTCCTGTACTGTAGCTTGCTAACTAGCTTGCTAACTAGCTTGCTATTTCTTTCTGGAAGGTACTCCCACTGTCCTCTCCCTTTATAGCTCTACAGAGCCAGGCGGAAGAGGTTTTTGTTGTTGTTGTTTTCTTTCCAGGAGATGGTCAGATCTCCAGAGAGAATATCATGGCTTTTAACTGACTCCGGGATTCTTGGAATCTCAGCTGAGCCAAGGCCAGAGGCACCAGAACATGAGGACTTGGTGTCCTTGAGGCAGCTCAGGCTGAAGGAGCTTAAGGGCCTTCAGGGTCCCAAGGAGAGGTCTCAAAGGCTGCCTGGGTGGGGAACACAGGGCTTCAGCCAGGAATGCACCTCTTCCACCTGTAACATTTCTTTTGGATGGGGTTTGGCACTTAAACAGCAGCTTTTAAAACTCCTACCCTGAACTCCTAGGCTGCCTTCTCCCTCCAGATATGGGGGAAGATGTGCTTCCTCCTCCTAAAAGGCATCTGCTCCAAGCCAGTTAGTTGCCAAGTTACCAGCTGAGTGACTTCTGGGCAAGACCCTTCCCTGCACTGGGTGTCATTTTCTATACAGCATGGGTGGGGAGGAGCAGGCAGGACCGTGGCTCTTCAGAGTCTTTAAAGTGGCTGATTCTAGAAGGGAGGCAGGAAAAACAGACAGACATGCCCTTTCACACACTCATACTTACTCCCCATCTCTGCACAGGGGATCAGAGGCTGGGCAAGTAGCTGTAAAAATCAGGGAACTTTAATATAAATAACAGGCCATAGGGGGAATACTATGCAGCAATGAAAGCAAATTATTTTCATTGATTTATAACCACATGCAACAAGCCTGATAAATTTCACAGACATAACGTGAATGAAAGAAGCTGTATACAGAGATATATGATTCACGTTATCCAGATTCTAGGCTATGAAAATAAATAAAACTATTCTATTCCATTGCAAGACAGAATAGTGGTACCCTTGGGAAAGTGACTGGAAGAAAGTACAGGGGAAGTGGGGCTTCTGGGATGCTGGATGCTAGTTACATCAATGTACCCAGTTCTAGAAGTCAGGCGTCATCACTTCCACTGCATTCTATTGGCTCTCAATGGAAGAACATTAACATCACACCATAAGAATATATATCCAGGTGGGATGTGTATATATTGCTGCAGCCATCTTTACAAAACATGATTTGCTACATGGTGCATCAACTTTATCTCCAGTCTTACCTCTTTCCAACCTGTTCTCTATCCTGCAGCCAAATAGCTAAAAACACAAACAAGCAAGAAACCCTCTTATTTGCTTAAAGTATTCCCAAATCCACCTATCCTGGTTAGAGATCCCACCAGCTTGTTTGCAAGTGAAACTAACTGGCTTGTCACTGGCTCTTTTTTTACTGATGCACAGTCCACCAAAATTTACCACAATGGTTGCTTTTAATCAAAAGGTACAGCTTGGCCACCAGTTCCAAGAAGGGGTTGTTCTTTCCTGGTAATTCATTCATATGTCACTTGTCATTTGATTACAGAATATTTTAACTGGCACAGTGTTTCCCAACGTGTAATCCAAGGATTACCTGCAGTAGCTTGTGTGTTGGAAGAGTCCCAAACTTTGTGTTCAAATAAAGAATGCCATGTGATTGTAAGGTCCAATAAAGTTTGAGAACTACTAATTAAAAGTTTCTCTGACCTGCCCAGTTAAACAAATGAGCCAATTTCATTTCCTGTTCCTCTGCTTTCCCCACCTTCTCCTTGATGTCCCCTCTATTTTCAGCCAGCCACGCAGAGCTAGGTGGAGAAGAATATGCACTTCCACCTATGACTGGGATAGGCTTCTTCTTGACTGCCGGCATCCCTATCTCTTCAGCTAGACTTGCTGCCTTTGAGATGAACCCAGTGGCTTCATTTAGTCAAGCTTGGTCTTTCCATTTAAATTATCAAGGCCATGGCCCACCCTACTCCTTCAACCTCGAATGTCTTTCTCTCACAACTCCACCCCTCCAAAAGTCATCTAGTTATCAGGACCCTCCCAATAATCTTTCTGGAGCTCCACAGCCCTTTTTGCTATGTCCCTAGTCATCCAGACAAGGCAGTGCCCATTTAGATATTCAACAAATATATATTTAGCACCTACTATATGCCAGGCACTGTTCTAGGACTTGGGGATTGTACTTCCATGGAACAAACCAGATAAAAAATGCTTATCCTTGTGGAACTGATAGTCTAGTGAAGACAGGCAATGAGTAGTAAACAAATAAGAAAATTACATGACGTGTTAGAAGGGAAAACTGGAGTGGGCATGGGTGGGGGGATGGGTTCCAATATAAATATAGTGGTTGGAGAGCTTCACTTGGAAGACATGAGGGAGTGGCAGAGTGAAACACACGGCTTCCTCGGGGAGGAACACATCAGCCAGAAGGGCCAGGCAGGTTGGAGGGAGAGGGCGAGCGAGGAGGCCGTTGTGACCGGAGCAGGGAGGTGGGGGAAGGACCGGTAAGTCATGGTGGCCGGACTCCATGGGCTTTATAGACTGCTGTAAAAACATACTTGCAGGGTTTTAAGCAGAGAAGAAACATACTTTTTTTTTTTTTTTAAAGCATTTCTTTGGCCGTGCTGTGAAGAAGAGTGAAATCAAGAAGCTATTGCAATAATCCAGGGGAAGCATGATGGTGGTTCGGAACATGGTGGCAGGATGAAAGTCATAAAATTAATGTTTGTTGAATTCAAGTTGCAGTATTAATCATGGTTTGCAGTGAATGCATCAGTAATATGCTTCTGCGGTGGGTTTTTCCAGCCTCGATTTCAGGGAAGGGGAGGGAGGGGAGGGGGGCGGGATGATGTGAAGTTACCAAGGAGATATAACATCATAGACCTGAAAACCTCAGAAGGTTCTAGGCCTTTAGGCCTCTGGCGCAGCAATAATTCTGTGGCCGAGCCCACCAGCTACTTCCCAATGATCGGGCGCAACAGGCGAGGATGAGAGCCTATGGAAAGCACAGGACTTTCGCAAAGCCAGACGAGCGCACTCCGGGAATCGTAGTTCTGCGCCATTGCGCAGGCGCAGTGGTTCCTAGCCGGCTTGCGCGCGCAGCTTCTGCAGGACTAGCTTCTAGAAGCTCATTGCGGTAGCGTTGGTCCTGGCTGCGGGTTCTGATGCAGGTAGTGGTTTTCCCGGGCCCATAGTTTGGGGCCCATGGCCAGGTCGCCGGCTCCGAGGACGCACTTGGGACGGGGTGGGGGCCAAGGGCAGCCGACCTACCTGGCTGTGCTCCCAATGCCGCAGCTCCTGTGGGAGGTGGGCACTATACTAAATGATTGAGCTTTCCTCCATCCCCTCCTTGCTCCCGGGGTCTCGCCGCTTAGGTACCTTTGCATTTTGGGCGGGAAAAGTCTTTGTTGTGTGTGCATTGGGGGTGAGAAGCGCTGTCCCATGTATTACGGGATGCTTAGCAGCATCCTTTGCTCTAATCGCTGGGTACCATAGCACCCCTCCAAGCCAGTCGTGATAACCAAAGTGTGTTCAGACGTTGCCAACGTCCCCTATGAGGCAAATTCCTATCTGTCCCCCGTTGTAGAACTTTTTTCTGTCTGCGTCACATTTTCGCGGGGCCCTCCTGTAAGCTTCCTGGAGACTGAGACGAGTGTCTTGGTCACTACAGAGTCCTAGTGCCCACCAAAGCGCCAGATACGGGGTAAGCACCTAATATTTGGCAGAGGAATAAATGACGTCATGCATGCTGTGTGCTGAGTGCTGTGCTTGGAGGTGGGTAATAATTGGTACCAGGGTTGAAATAGGAGATTGTTCTGGCACTTGCTTCAGTGTAGTATATCTCAAGCTACATTGTCATTTCCTGGGTGCTCTGTAAGTGTAGGGACCCTGCCTGACCTGTCTGCACCTGCTTCCCTAGACCTGCCTCCCTAGTGCTCTGTTCTCAGCTCATTGAAGATATTTGGTTATTTGTAGAATGAAAGAATGCATGGCACACAGGGCAGGCTCTTTGCAGAAAAGCAATTGGGGATCAGAGAAAGCTTCACCCAAGAGGTGACATTTTTAAAGAATGGAAAAACGTTTGCTTCGATAGGGAAAGAAGACAGCATTTCAGGAAGAGGGATAGTGTGTCTGAGAACCAGGAGGTCCTTTTCTCTGGCTGTAGTGTCTGTCAGGGGCAGGTAGAGCTCAAGAGGTGAGGTTTTCAGGGCAGGGTCTCTAGATCATCACACCCGGCCTTTGAATTTTACCTTGAATTAGTTGGAGAGGGATCGTATTTTGCATACTAGAAGGAATCCTTAGGCTGCTTTGTGATACTGGATTAGAGAAGCCTGGTCTTAGGTAGTTTCAGTAGGATAGAATGGAGAAGATCTTAAGAAATAAAGCTTCCAGGATTGGGTTATTGATTGTTGGGTTATTGATTATGTGAGAAATTTGATAGGCAAATATGAAATCAGGCTTCTGAGTTGAGCAACTTGTGGAAATGTATGGCCGTTCACTGAGAGAGGGCAGGAATTGTTGAATAGCTTTGTGACTGGATCTCCTTGTAGCCACGAGCCTTTTCTGATCACTTTTGCTTAGGAGGAGCTGTAAATTCTAAAGAAACTGTTTCCTTGGAGGGCACCTTTAATTATCCTTAGTAACTCCCTGGCTTTTCACCTGCAAAGAAAATTATTCTTTTAGCCCTGCCTGGTGTGGCTTAGTGGATTGAGTGCTGGCCTGAGAACCAAAAGGTTGTGGGGTTAGATTCCTCATCAGGGCACATGCCTGCGTTTACCTGCCAGGCCCTCAGTAGGGGGCGTGCAAGAGGCAACCAGTCTATGTATCTCTCACACATCGGTGTTTCTCTCCCTTTCTCCCTCCCCTCCCTTCTCTCTTTAAATAAATAAATAAATAAAATCTTTAAAAAAAAAAGGAAAATTATTCTTTTAATACAGTAGTTGGGCAGTGCTGTTTTAGGCCTCTGACTATATACATGTATGTACACACACACACACACACACATACACACCAAACCATGAACAAAGTTTTTGGGATTTTTGACTTGTTTCACTTATTTAATATCTTATATTTCTTAACAGTTTCTGCAAGACCATAAACTGAATCTGTGGAATCGTGATATTTGTTGTGCATAGTGCCGGTTGGTGAACTGTACTGATATTCAACTAGAGTCTAACGGGGACTGAATTCCTGCTGGTGACGCACATTGCAAGCCACAGCGCCGTGCCCGTGAACAAAATGACGGCCATCTCCCCCGAGCCTCAGACTCTGGTCTCAAATGAACAAAATAAGGTCCTAAGAATGGATACAAGTGGGAATGAAGAAGCCATCCTAAGAGGAAGCACTACTGACCCAGAGTCTTTTAGACAGAGGTTCAGGTGGTTTTGTTACTCAGAAGAGGCTGGACCCAGAAAAGCCCTGAATCAACTCTGGGAGCTCTGCATTCAGTGGCTGAGACCAGACATCCACACGAAAGAACAGATTTTAGAGCTTTTGGTGTTTGAGCAATTCCTGACCATTTTGCCCGGGGAGATCAGGATTTGGGTAAAGTCACAACATCCTGAGAATAGTGAGGAAGTGGTAACCTTAATAGAGGATTTGACCCAAACACTTGAAGAAAAAGAAGGTGAGATTTATAGATGGAGGGAGTAAGTGGTTAAGATCTCCTTAGCATAAGAGAGTAAACTCCCCAAAAGACAGTAATTTATTGCTAAAGAGGAAACTAAGTCTAAGTTTAGACGTGAGACTGGGTTTGAATTGGCCCTGCCTTCTTTAGTGTGTGATCTTGGGCAAGCTGTGTAACCTCTCAGGACTTTACTTTTTTTATCTGTAAAAAGGGAATCCTGTCTTATCTATAGTTTTGTTATGAGGATTAAATAAGGTAAGGTATGATACATTCATGGTAGGTGCTCCAAAAATATTTCTTTCTCTTTACCCTTGAGCAAGAAGGGACTTTAGAACACAGGAGAGAAAGAAATTAATCTGAAAGTGTTTGGAGTCACAAGCATATCATCCAGCTAGGCCGTGACCTCTTGCTCCAGTGTGTGCAATCACATGTTCCTAGAACAGAGCTCTCCAGTGTCTGTGATGATGGAAATGTGTTCTGCACTCTTGCATTTCAGGTTAAGCATAGGAAATGTGGCTAGTGCAAATAAGGAAGTTAATTTTTAATTAAACTTAAATTTAAATAGCCATATGTGGCCAGCAACTACCCTGTTGGATAGTGCAGTTCCTTAGCCTTAGGGAACAGTTGGCTTACATTGTCATAATTACGTTATTATACATTATATATGTAAATGTATAAAAATAAACTGAATTACAACATTTTTAAATATTGATAAAAAGGCTTCTAGGGTGGCTAGATGTTTGAGAGCTGTGATTCAACTTTTATAAAATCCCTCTATATGCTACAAATATTCCACATATTTTTGTATATTATTTACCCTAATGCTCTCAATACATGTGTGCAACAGTTTGTATTCTACTAGGAGTTCTGAGATAAATGGGGAAATAGTGTTTACCTCCACAGACTTAATTTGTGGTCACACAGCTCAGTTGTGTATCTAGCATTCGGGCTTCCTGATTCCTCTCTAACTTACCTGTCACTGCAACATGGTGCTTTTGCAAAACTGGGGCCTCTGTGTGGATGCTCCTGCAGTCAAGAAGTTCGTGAATTGATTGCTTTAGCGTTCTGTGAGCTAGAACAGTTTCCTTAAAATGATCCCTCTTTTCACTTGATAGCATAATTCTGATTCTTAATGTCCATGTTTGCCTCTAATCAAGCTGCCTAAAATTCTTTCCATAAGAAAGTGAATATTTAAAAAAAAAATTCTTGTCTCTTATTAGAAGTGCTATTAATGTCTCAGAGTATTTAACACATTTAGTTCATATGTTCAGATTCCTGATTTCTGTCTTTAGGAATTGTTGGTGACTTCAGAGGTGGAATCAGTTCTTGACACCAGTTTGGTAATTTTCATTTAATGAATGATTCTTGTGCAAGGCATTGTGGTAGGACTATGAAGGAAAAAAACCATTAAATAAATATGTGGTTTTACTTTACTACATCTTATATTTTTAAAGTAATATTTTGCCAATTAAATACATTAAACTATGGGTGTATGGAATGAGTGAAATCAGTTTTTTATGAGCTTAGGAATTCAAAGGATATTTTATGGGATGGGGAAAAAGTTTGGGTGTAATAGGAACTCTATCTGTGGTTCTTTCTGTTCTAAAAAGTTGGGGAAAACTTTTTTCTATTTCTTAGAACCATTTCCTCCAGAGATATTTAAGAATTTCTAGTCTGAGGAATTCATTTCAAAGACCGGACAGTGTTTTCTCTTCCCTTCCCAGACCCAGTTTCTCAAGATGCTGCTATTTCCCAAGAGGAGAACCCTGAAGAAGATAAAATGGTTTCTGTCCTTCCAAATACTGAGTCCGGGGTAAGCTTCCTCTCACTGGTTTTCGTTCTCAAGTGAATACTTGCTGACCTCCTACTGATTGGTATAACAATACTAGACAGGATAATTAAGACAGTCTTCTGTTCACATTCTTCAAAGTTATTCTTCATGTGCTGTTTTATTTCAGTTTGGAGAATATGTCACAAGTGACTCTAACAAAAACAAAAACAATTATTTGCTAAAATTTAATAGTTATTCCTGATAAAAATTAGGTGAAAACAGAATGATATTTTCTAACACGATAACAAAATATCCCAGCTGGATAGTGTTGGAAAATAAAAAGCAGGCCCTGGCTGGGTACTCAGTTGGTTAGAATGTCGACCCAATACACCAAAATTGCGGGTTTAATCCCCAGTCAGGGCACATACAAGAATCAACAACAAATGCACAAACAAATGGAAGAACAAATCAGTGTTTCTCTCTCCCCCCGGCCATCCTGTCTATAAAATCAGTAAATTTAAAAAAATTAAAATTTAAAGAAAAGGCAGTCCTTAAAACACTTGTGAAAAGTTAAGGATATTTTAACCTTAATGCTATTAATGAATATTTTTTCTGAATATTCTAGCCAGTGTACTAAGATAAGAAAGAAATGAGGTAAGTATTGATAGCTTGCTTTGGAATTGTTAGAAACTTAAATACTATCAGACCTAACCAGTTCTCTGAAATCTTAGGATCTGTTTAGGAATAAGCCAATGCAAAAAGACTGTGTTTGCTGTTCTAGGAACCCGTGACATTCAAGGATATAGCTGTGAGCTTTTCCAGAGGAGAGTGGAGAAAGCTGGAACCTTTTCAGAAGGAGCTGTATAAGGAAGTGCTACTGGAAAACGTTAGGAACCTAGAATTTGTGGGTAAAGACACATTCTTTTCATGATCTAGCATCTAACCTGGGTATCCTTTTGCCTGCTGTTATTGAAAGATAAGCGCTATTAATTGTTTTAGCTGGGCATACAGGGGTGATATGATTAATTCTAAAAATGGGTCTAAGAATGTACTTTTCTGCAGTGTTTTCTCCAAAAAAAGTGCCTTTCCTTCATTGAATTGGAAATCTTGAGCATCATTTTGCTGTCATCAAGGCCTTGCCTCTCCCCACGTTCTTGTCAAATTTCCGTATTGATGACTGTGTCTGACAGCATCTTCTCTTCCCTGGAGAAACCAAAGCTATGTGTGAATGTGGATTGTCTTGTTCTATAGAAAACAGCCGCTTTTTATTCTTTTCTCTATGGGCAGGCTTTCCAGTTTCCAAACTAGATTTGATTTCACAGCTTAAGTGGGTTGAACTGCCAAGGCTGCTGCAAAAAGAGGTCTCAAAAGGCTCCGGACCAGGTAAGTTGGTGAAAGGTAGACAAGGAAATTAAAACGGTTGCTTGCCAAGCCATTTAGGAAGAGCTTTTGAAACGTTGGGTGGGCCATATGCTAAAATTAAAATAGAGTGATGATTAGAATATACAGCTTGCCCTCCTGGAATGTTCATTTTAACAGGAGACTCTCTTAGTTTGGGTTCTCTCAGAAGTAGATGCCAAGACATGATCATCTATGCCAGAGACTTACTGGGGGAAACTCCAGTGAAAGAAAAGGGGGTGGGCTCTGAAAGAGGCAGGGAGTGATGTCGGAGCATGATGCAGGTATAACACCTGTGAATGAGAGGCAAGGAGGGGTGGGTAGGAAGAGTCTTAGACTAAAATGCAGTTTAAGAAAGTTTTGGGCCCTGGCCAGTATGACTCAGTTGGTTGGAGCCTCATCCTATAACTGAAAGGTTGGGGTTCGATTCCCAGTCAGGGTACATACTTAGGTTGCAGGTTTGGTTGCCAGTCTGGGTGTGTACGATCCCCAGTCAGGGCGTGGATGATTCTTTTGCCCATCAATGTTTCTCTCTTGCTTCCTCACTCTGCAAAAATCAATGAAAAAAAAAATGTCCTCAGGTGAGGATTAAAAAAAAAGCTTTGGCAATGCCATAAGAGTCCTCAAGCCAGAGTCACCTCTCAGAGTCCTGTGTCTCACAGAAGTGGGCCTGCCTGAGTATCCCTGCTATACTTGTCACTGACCAGCTGTGGGAAGGTGGCCTTGGCGTGAATGTCACGGGGAATTCATAGAGCAGCAGTAGGTGCTGTTAGCTCTCAGTGAAGTGCCTCAGAGTTCAGAAAGGTGCGTTTTTGTGGACACCATCGATAGAGACATCAGAACAGAAAGTGTTAGTAATGGGATTTATGCTATGATAATGGCGTGTGTAAGGAGCAGTGGAAAAACATAGAAGCAGGAGCTTAATTAACATCTGAGTTGAATCTTGAAGGATAAATACGAATTTACCCAGAGGACAGCATAGAAAATGTAATGCCATTTTTGTTTAAAGGAATAGCACATAACACATATATATGTCTGAATATAGATATATGTGTGGATTTTTAATGTCTGGAGAACATTCATGTTACTACTGGTTATCTTTGGGGGATTATATTTTTTCTTTATCTTTCCCTCATTTAAAAATTTAACAAAAGATATATAAAATTTACATTTAAGACATAATTACTTATATATCAATATCTTAGTTTATTTTAAAGGAAAAAACAATAATTTACACTAATCCATCTTCTTAACTCTTCATTTTGGTCAACTTATTGGCTGTTTTCAGTATAGTTGCACAAATAAAAAACAGCAATTACCTTTTATTTAAGTAGCATTTGGGAGAGTATTGCCAAAAATGGATTCTAAAAATGTTTTGAGTAAAATGTAGCAGTGTTGGTATAAATATATGTCTCGCCCCCTTGTACTAAAGAAGCCATTTAGACACACAACTTGTTTAAAAAGTCATTGAAAACAGACTGGGGAAAAAAGTTTTTGACAGTCAAAACAGAGTCAATAACCATAATTTATCAAAAGCCCATGTAAAACAAGAAATACTGAGTCTATTAGAAAAATTGGAAAAGAAATTGAGCAGACAGCTGATAAAATAAAAAATAACTGGCAGTATTGAAATTTAAATATCTGTGGATGTGACAATAAAGCTCCAAGTCACTGGTCAACAATGAAATATACATTTAAAGCAACCGTACTATTTATTATAGGTCAGCTTCACAAAAACTTAAAAGATCATTTGACTAGAGATGATTACTCAGGTACTTCTGCTCATCATTCTTCATATGATACAACTTTTCTACCCATTGGTTCAGTAATTTCATTTTTATGACTCTCTTTTGAGGAGATTTTTTTAAAAGTTTATTTATTTTTAGAGAAAGGGAGAAAGAGAAAGAAACATCGATGTGAAAGAGAAACATAGATCAGTTGCTTCTCGTACACACCCTGACCAGGACCGAACCACAACCCAGACCTGTGCCCCCTGACCAGGAATTGAACTGGTGACCCTTCACTTTTTGGGATGAAGCCCAACCTACTGAGCTACACCAGTCAGGGCAGGAAATACTAATCATTTGATAAACATTCAATAAGGGAATCATTAAACTAATATATGTTATATAATATATAAATATAATAATATAGAATGAATTATTTAACTAATTAAAATTATCTTTATGAAGAATTACCAGTGAACCCTGACTGGTGTGGTTCAGTTGGTTGGGGTGTTGTCCCGCAAAGCGAAAGGATGCAGGTTTGATTCCTGGTCAGGGAACATGCCTAGGTTGTGCGTTCAGTCCCCAGTCAGGACATATATGAGAGGCAACTGGTTGATGTTTCTCACTCATGTAGATGTTTCTCCTCCTCTCTCCCTCCCTTCCCCTCTCTCTAAAAATAAATAAATAAAATCTTTAAAAAAAATTACTGAGATGGGAGAGAATTTTTGAACAAGAAAAGTAACCCTACATATTACACATGGTTTTTCTGTTCTAAACTATAGAAAAATTTTTAGAAGAAAATACACAGTTGTTAACAATTAATTTCTGGGCAATAAGATTTTGTGTTTTAAAGTAATCTGTTTTAAAATAACTTTATAAAAGTAATCTCATGATTAAGAGCCATGTTGAATGATGTGATTAATAAGTGAATTCAAAATTTTCAGAAGGGCATAAATAGTGTAGTAGTGGGCAAAGCTTGTGGAGATTGTGGGACTTAAACCCTAGGCCCTGTCAAATTTATATGTTTGAGATGGTGAAGGTACTGTGAGATTTCACTCTAGATTGTATGAAGTATCAGGACTAAAACAATAGGATTGAAAATGCTGTAGTATATTAGGAACAGTAAATGGATGCCTGAGTAGATTATTAGGGCCAGATCGTGGTAACCTTTGAAAGTCTGGCATAGATGTTATTGCGTACCTACGATGCAATGATATCTATAAACAGTGCTATTGGACTGCTCTCAGGAAAGGTAATATAGTATAGGGATCAAAAGCTTGGGCTTTAGGGTCAGACTAGGTTCAAAATCTGGCACTGCAACTATAATACATGTGACTTTGGGTAAGCTACTGAGATTTTCTGTGCCTGCTTGTCACATCTGTAAAACAGGGATAATAATAGGGCCTACTTCATAGAGTTGTTGGGAAATTAAGTGAAATACAAGTAAAGTGTTTGCTGTTTGGCCTGGCATTTGGTAAGTATTCAATAAATGATTGTACTATTATTGTTGTTTGAACCTATTACAGAAATTTGAACTGAGGGTGAGAACTTGTATTTCTAACTATAAAGTATAAACGTTTCATCTTCCTCAATATTTTTCCTAACCCCTATGCTGACCTACATCATATCATTTTCTCTGTATCATTTTTTTCTTCCTTGTTTTATAAGACTATTTGTGAACTGTCCAAGTCATAATCCTTATAGGTATTACTGTTCCTATTCCTATTTTAGTCCCAAATACAGTACCTTCCTTTATTACAAACAGGAAATATTCTGTGTTGTTTTTTTTTTAGAGTGTGAACCTAGAGGTGAATTGAAGAAATCTGTTCAAAATCAAGATGTTCTTATGGATGAATCGACTTTAGATAAAATAATAGAAAGGTACCTAATGGGTGGCGATGATGGCTTGATGGGAGAATCTTCGAAACATGGTAGGTTAGAGGAAAATCATAGCAATAGGGAATGTTCACAAGTAGCAGGCACACAAAAGAAAACTCATAGGAGAGGCAGTAAGGGTGAGGAATCTGACCCAGAAAAGGGCCCCTTTGGAAGTAATTTCAAGGAAACTTCAGATATAATTAAACAGGTGAGAGGCTACTTAAAGAAGAAGTCTCGGAAGTATAATGAAAGCAAGAAACGCTTTAGTTTTCATTCAGACCTTATTATGAACCGCAAAGAGCACATTGGAGAAAAGCCACGGAAACGTAAGGAAGGCAGGAAAGTTTTAAGTCACTCTTCATCTCGTCCTGAACATCAGAAACATCAGAAAATTTATATGGGGACAAAGCCACAGAAGTGCACTAACTGTGGGATAGACTTTACTCAAAGCTTATCCCTTGTTAAGAGAAGAAAAACTCCTATATGTGAGAAATGTCGAAAAAATGAATGTCGGGAAAATGAATGTCAGGATGAAACCTCAAAGAAAGATGAAGGAGTAGAGACTGGAGAAAAAACCCATAAATGTAGCAAATGTGGAAAAGCCTTTGGCTATAGTGCCTCACTGACCAAACATCAGAGAATTCACACTGGGGAAAAGCCCTATCTGTGCAATGAATGTGGAAAAGCCTTCAGTGACAGTTCATCCCTCACACCACATCACAGGACTCATAGTGGTGAGAAACCCTTCAAGTGTGATGATTGTGGAAAAACTTTCACCCTAACTGCCCACCTCATTAAACATCAGAGAATTCATACTGGAGAAAAGCCCTATAAATGTAAAGAATGTGGGAGACCCTTCAGTGACAGTTCATCTCTTATTCAACATCAGCGAATTCATACTGGAGAAAAACCCTACACTTGTAACAATTGTGGGAAGTCCTTTAGTCATAGCTCATCCCTTTCCAAGCATCAGAGAATTCATACTGGAGAGAAACCCTATAAATGTGGCGAATGTGGGAAAGCCTTTAGACAGAATTCTTGCCTTACTCGACATCAGAGAATTCACACTGGAGAAAAACCATATTTATGTAATGATTGTGGAATGACTTTTAGCCATTTTACATCTGTAATTTATCATCAGAGACTTCATTCAGGAGAAAAACCCTACAAATGTAGTCAGTGTGAGAAAGCCTTCCCTACCCATTCACTCCTTAGTCGTCATCAGAGAATTCATACTGGTGTGAAACCTTATAAATGTAAGGAATGTGGAAAATCCTTCAGTCAGAGCTCATCTCTTAATGAACATCATCGAATCCATACTGGAGAGAAACCCTATGAATGTGACTATTGTGGAGCAACCTTTAGTCGAAGCTCAATCCTTGTAGAGCATCTAAAAATTCATACTGGAAGAAAAGAATATGAATGTAAAGAATGTGAGAAGACATTTAAAAGTAATTCGGGCCTCCTCAGACATCGGGGATTTCACTCTGGAGATTAATTCTTAGGCTACAGTGAGGTGGGGGGGAATTGAATCAAAATTGCCCCTTACGAGGGACCTGGATGTAAATTACCACCACATTGATGAGTAGCTGCAACTTTGATGGGTTGTCAGCCAGGAAAAACAGACTCTTCCCCATTCACCTTTCTTTGCAAGTATGTTAACTTTGGAAGATTGTAGTTAGGGCTGGTAAAGTCACATGGAACATCAAAATAGTATGAAATGTGAAATGACTGTAAAAGGCCAAATGTGAATTTAAAAAGCAGGGAGGTATGCCCAGGACCTACCTTTTTAACCTCTTCAGAAGATTTCCCTCTCTTCCAGCTTCCCCTTCCACTACCATGTAGTGCAAGAGAGAACCTGATTGGATTTATATCACCTGCATTCTGTCCCAGTTTGCTGACCAATCCACTATATAACCTGGGGCAAGTTTGACCTTTCTGAATTTCCATTTCTGAACTGGTAGAACGAAGGGTTGGGACTGATAATTTCTAAGTTTGTCGGTTTTTGTTTTGTTTTGTTTTTTTTGTACCTCATTTTCCAAAGCTATGGAAATAAGTTAAACATTTTTGATTCATTGGAATTTTCAAGTTTCTATAGTAGAAAATTACTTATTTAGGATACTGAACTTCTGGCTTCGTGAGACTGTAGTATCCTTTCTGAATACTGGATGCCTTGAATACTTGAATACTTGATGCTAGAATACTATTAACAGGAACAAGTCAGTGAAGCTGAAACAATTGCCTTCAGGGAATGTTTTAACTGGACCGAGCACCCTAACCTGTTTTTCCTTTGGGCCGTTGGCTAAGAAGATTGAGATTCTAGAGGGTGTGCACCCCAGCCATCTCGGACAAGAGAGTTACAGTCCTAGGAAAATAGATTGGGGGTGGGGGTAGGGGTGGGGTGGTGGGAAGAAACGGATGCTGAAACAGCTATTCTGGATGGGTTGCCTTTTGCAATATAGAATTTTATTTTTTTAAAATTTTGCCTATACTAAGTGTGGCTTCCAGTAACTGGAGTGTAAACCTGTATGGCAAAGGCCACAAGATAAAGTTGGGCCCTTTGATGTGTTTTAGTTGGTCTGCAGGGTAAGGTTGTATGTATGTATGTATGTATGTACGTATGTGTGTGTGTGTGTGTGTGTGTGTGTAATTAGTAGCCACCATTTAAAAGATAGGAAATTTCATACCAAAAAAAAAAAAAGCTTGTCCTGAAAAATAAAAGTGATGACAACAGTAGGCCCATATTTCAGTGGCACAGCCAGGTGGCTTGGGACAGCAGCTGCTACCTTTAGATGGGGAATCTACTACTTGCCAAGTTCTCTCAATTACGTAACCTGACTTGCCCACTGTAAGAATTGGACATTCTGATCCCCTACCATCTGGAGAATACATACTCTAAAATCTAAAGGTGCCCTATTGATAGTAAGTACAATTCAGGAAAAGGAATTAAAAATGATAACAATAAATTTTCACTTAAGTTTTCTGTTGTGAGATCAGACCTCAAAGGAATAGAGGATACAGATTCTGGTGAATTATCCCTTACTGATTTCATTGGTGGAGTCTGAATAATAGTTCCTAAGTGAAAAAGGAACTAAAAACCCTGAGTCAGTCTGATTTGGGACTCAGGTGACAGGGTTCTGGAGGAGCCCCACTGACTCAACAGCAGTACGGAGTTCCTAAAGTTCAAATTTGAGGCAGTGTGTATAAAAAGAGCAAAAAACACTTGGCTTATCGAAACGAAGAGATCCATAATGCACATCTGAGACACAGCAATATTTGCTGTGATTTAGTGGGTTTAGATTTGCATTGCTACCTCTGGATAATGTTTTCAGTTTCTTCCTTGTGCCCTCACTCCCCCATAGCCTGTAGTTCAAGTATTGCTGTGTGATAAATTGATCTGCACAGTTATTGCTAAATAGACCATCTAGAGACATTTAGCCATAAGGAACTATGGCTTATGAGAACTATTCATCCTGATTTAAGTTTTGTTTTTTTTTTTAAAGATATAAATCCTGGTTTGTTTTTCTCTGAGATCTAAACCTTAGTTTGTTTTTTTTTCTGAAAAGATGTAATTTATAGAAATAATTAAATCTATAAAATTCTTGAAGCTTATTCCAGGATGTTTACTTTAAAATGATGTCCTTGCTTTAAAAACTGTTTTCTAATGAATTTCTGTTGAAGAAATTCATTTCAAGTCACACCACAGGACGAATTTCCTTGTTTTAGAATTCTTTTCTTAATACGATAAAAATATATAATGTGAAACTGACCTTTTTAACCCTTTCTGGGTGTACACTTCAGTGGCATTAAAGACATTCTCGTTACTGTGCCATCGTCACCACATTCATCTCCAGAACTTTCTCGGTCGTCCCAAACTGAAACCCTACTCATTTACCAGTAACTCCCCGCTCTTTCCTCCCCTGAGCTTCTGATAACCAACCACTACCTTTCTGTTTCTTATGAATTTGACTCTTCTAGGTACCTCACGTAAATGGATTAATTTAATATTTGTCCTTTTATTCCTGGTTTGTTTCACTTAACATAATGTTTTTAAGGTTCATGTAATATGTGTCAGAATTTCATTCTTTTTTAAGACCGAATAGCATTCTATTGAATGTATATATTACATTTTGTTCACCCTTTCCCCTGTTGATAGGCATTTAAGTCATTTCCACCATTTGGGCTGTAAATAACACTGCTGTGAACAGTGGTGTACAAATATGTTTGAGTCCCTGCATTCAGTTCTTTTAGGTAAATAACCGATGTCCGCAAGTTATTCTTGTAGTGTATGACAGGATTTTCTTTTTTAAGGCTGAATAATAATTCTGTTACACATTTAGACAACTTTTTTTTAGTCCATTCATTCATCAATGCATATTTAGTTTGCTTCTACCTCGTGGCTATTGTGATATAATGCTGTAATGAACATGGATGTACAAATAATCTTTTCAAATCTATTACCAGTGTTGGATATATACCCAGAAGTGGGATTGCTGAATCATGGTCAATCAATTTTTAACTTTTTGAGGAACCTCCATCCTGTTTTCCACAACAGCTGCACCATTTTATATTCCTACCAACAGTGCACAAGGGTTTCTTCCCATCATAGCAACATTTTTAAATTTTTCTATATATTTTTTTAAATTTTTATTTATTTATTTTCAGAGAGAGGGGAAGGGAGGGAGGGAGAGAAACATCGATGTGGGAGAGAAACATCGATTGGTTGCCTTTTGCATGCCCCTAGTTGGGGACCTGGTCTGCAACCCAGGCATGTGCCCTGGTGGGAATTGAACCAGTGACCTTTTGGTTCACAGGCCAGTGCTCAGTCCACTGAGCCACACCAGCCAGGGCTATTTTCTATGTTTTTGATAGTGGCCATTATAATAGATACGGTTTTCATTTGCATTTCCCTGATGGTTAGCAATGTTGAAAGTCTTTTCATATGCTTGTTAATCATTTGTATGTCTTAAGGGAATTGTCTGTTTAGGGCCTTTGCCCATTTTTTTTCCTTTGCACATTATTTTTTTGAGGTTTTGTTTTTGAGTTTTAGCTGATTTTTATCTGTTTTGAATATTAACCCCTTATTAAATTTATAACTTGCAAATATTTTCTCCTATTCCATTGATTGCACTGGACTATTTTCCGTTTTCTCAGCACTGTTTCCTTTACTGCACAGAAGCTTTTAAGTTTGATGTAGCTCCATTTGCCTATTTTTTGCTTTTTTTCCTGTGCTTTTGTTGTCATGTCCAATAAATCATTGCCAAATCCAGTGTCCTGAAAATCTCACCCCCCCACCCATTTTCTTTTAGGCATTTCATAGTTTCAGTTCTTACATTTAGGTCTTTAGTCTATTTTGAGTTAATTTTTATATGTGGAATAAGATAAGGGTCTGTCTTCATGTTTTTGTCTGTGGATGTCCAGTTTTCCCAAAACCATTTGTTGAAGAGCCTGTCTTTTCCACACTGTGTAGTTTTTGCATTGTTGTTGAAGATCCTTTGGCCATGTACACAGGGATGCCTTTTTTTTTTTTTTAAGTGTTCTAAGGTTGAGAGATTCAGAGTAGAGACCTCAGGTGTCTCTCACCCTGCAAAAATGGTTCTGCTAATATATAAGCTTTGCTAAATCTGTAACTTTGGGTTTTTTTCTCTCGATATTCACTACGTGTATAGTCTCTTCTGTAAAAAGGGACTTGGAGAGCATTCCCTTCTAAAGCAACAATTAATAGATACCTATTCCCTCATTTCTGCCTTGAAGACTCGTTTTTCTTTCTTGATCTGCCAGCTGATCAGAGCCTTCCTTTGGCTTTTTGAACATCTTTAAGATAGTTTTAAAGTCTTTGTCTAGGAATGCTGACTTCTGGACTTTCTCAGATACATTTTCTGTTGATTTATTCCTTTGAATGGGCCATACTTTCTTGTCCCTATGAATGAGTTTTGATTTTTGTTGTTGAAACTGGACATTTGACTCTTACAGTGTGGTAGCTCTGGTAATTGGGTTCTCCCTTTTCCCAGAGTTTGGTGGCTGTTGTTTTTTTTTAATTTTAGGGTGTTTCTGTCCTGGGGATCAGCCTTTGGCAAATGCTTCAAGTTCTCTCAGGTCTTTCCTGAGCTGGTCTTTGCCTGGCCAGAAGTAGTTGCTTCCTAAATACTCCCATATATGTATTTTTTTCAGTGCCTGTCCCCTAAGAAAAACAAGTGCTGCTCCTGTTTTTTAAATCCCCTGGAAGCCACTTTAGTTAGTGGGGGGTGGAAGACTGGTAGCTTGCCTTTGTGTCTGCCCTTCTGGCATGATCAGAAGCAACCATCTAAAGTCAGAACCCTGCTATTTGGAGGAAAAGGGCTTTATTGCCCATGCTGGCTCCAGCAAGCTGACTGGAAGTGCGGGTTCCACCTCCGCAGCCTCCTGCCACAGGACGGGCCGGTGGGCAATGGATGGCTGCTACTGTGCTGAAGGCTAAGATTCACCACTGTTCATTGTAGCTGATCCATTAAGGAAGCTACAATTTTTAAAATAGCTTCCCATGCTTCAAAAGAATCTCTTTAAATACTTTCTGCCTGTACATTTGCTGTCTAGCTGAAGAGGTAGATTCCTGGCACTGGGACCCTGCCCTCGTTGCTAACACTGTCTTTGATTTCTGTCCTGCTTTCTGGAAGGTACCTTCAACTTTATCTTCCAACTCTACTACTGAATGTTTTGAATTTTTTATTTCTGTCATACTTAGGTTTTCAAATTCATTTTCTGGTCCTCTGTTCTTTTTTTATAATAGTCTGGTTCAGTTTCGGAGGTGAAATATTTTTTTCTTTTGAGGATGCTAATATAGTGTCTCTCAGTGTTACTCTGCTCCCTGAATTACCTGTCTTTCCTCTGAGTTGTTTGTGCTTGTATTCTACCTTTCACATTGGAGGTTTCCCTCAAACTCCAGGAAATCTTTGTCTATTCACATTGAAGAAGAGGGCTCTGAAAAGCTGCTTGGAAGGTGTTCCGTTAACTGCAGCACAGTCCAATAGGAGTATGAGCCACGTGTGTTAACTTGAGATTTTCTAGTAGCTACTTTACAAAGTAAAAACAGGCAAAGTTAATGACATATTTTATTTCACCCAGTATAGCCATAATATTATTTCAACATATAATCCGTAAAAAGTCATTGGTGAGGTAATTTATATTATGTTTTGCGCCGTCGCCAAAACCCAGTGTGTGTTTTATCGTTGCTGCACATCTTGATTCATACATTAAATTTTCATTTGAAATACTTGATCCATATTTAGATTTATAAAACTTAGGAGTTGAAAAGTAGATTGATGTAATTGTTCTAACCTTACTTGGTTGTTATTCTGAATATACCTAAAGTTTTCCAATAACTGAATCAAGTATCAGAAAATGATTTCCCTCTCCAGTTGCATTCACATTGACAAAACTGTTCATCTTTCATTAGAAGAACTAATTTTGAAGCAAAATCATATTTCAAAACTATAAATTCAACTCTGTCAACTCAGTATTGTTAGCATCAAATTTGGCAAGGTTGCATGAATGAAAAGAAAACTAAATTTATCAATATCACCAAACCATTCTTCACACTTTTTATTTTTGTGGTCAGTTTACATGATGCTATTGATTACATTTAAAGTTTGCATATTGACTGAAATGTGTTAAAAGTGTAAAGTCATTTTTTAATACATACTACGAAATGTTTCAATTTTAACTAAATTTTTGTAGTAAATAGATCACAAGTTTTTCCCATTCCAAGGAGCTTCCAATTTTAGCTCATTCATGTACATTGTGGTGTTAGGGAGACATAAAAATCCTACTGCTCCTTTTTGTCTTTCACTATGGAATATTTGGCATTTTGTTGTGTTTTGTTTCAAGAAAAGTATAAATTGGAATTCCTAGTATAGGAAATCATTGTAAACTTGTTTTATAACTCGACCATCTTCAACAGTTTCTTAACTGGCAATTATTATTTTATAGCATTTCCACCTATATACTGAAGAATTTTACCACCTGTATCCATGACTCTGTTTTTGGAGTCTGCTTCAGAAAACTGAGCACAGATATTTTCAGTATCAGACAGTGGAACAAAGCAATGAGGGAACCATTCTCTTGCTTTAAAATTTCAGTGCATGAGGTCTTTTGACTTTACATAGATAGAGTTCCATTCTTACAATGGAAACATTTTTCTATCTCTAGCTGAAATTCTTTGACAGATGGAAAATTGTCAAAAATATCTGTCTTGTGATTATGAATTGACATTTCTTTGTAAATTTGGATGTTCTTTGAGACAAAAATAATACCCAAAGTTTTCTCTGGGCTGTGTCTTTCATGACACAACTCATCCAAAGCTGAAGAGAAATACTTGCAATTTTAAAAATTTTGAATCAGTTGATCTTTGATATTATTAGAAATTTTTTGTATTCTATGAGCAAAATTACTTAGAGGATTAATTGAAATTTTTAATTTTTGTAAATATCTTCTTAAGTCTCTTAGTCATAAATTTCTAACTAAATCAAGCTTACTAAAATGATTTGTTTTTATCATCTCTCCATTAAGATTCTTTTTGTTTGTGTGTATATGAGAATTCAAACTGTTTTACAGCTGGCCAAGTTTACAAGCTCAAATCCTGTTAAAATGTTTTAAATTTTTGGTTGGAAATTTAGTTCTCATCTCATATTACTAATTTCTTGGATTCTTTTTTGACTATTAGAAGAATACTTACCAAACTCACTAGACCGTTGCTGAAAAATGATTAAATTTTAGGTGTTGTCTTAAATATTGTTCAGTGTGGTATCATTAACACTTTGGTATACAGCAAACAGCTTTTTCATTTTGCTGTGCCTGTGGTAAATTGCAGTTGCCACTCACTGAAGTGCGCTGTACTCTCTCCCACTCTTTTTCTTTACTGTACTAGTCATAGTACCGGCTTCTGTATTGCACTGAATTCCGCCTCAGTAATATGCCTTCATTGCAAATTTAAATATTTGTATTTTTAACCTGAAAATAGTTTAATTATATTATCATTAAAGTAGTATCTCAGTTTATGATTATGATTTGTATCAGTATTGTTGTAACTTGTGCTGTCTGCATAGGTGTACTTGTGCTGTGTACATAAGATATCCAAGTAAACACGTTGTGATGTTACTTCAGTGCATAAAAAACAGTCATCTGAACTGAATCAGTCTGTTGATACTGACTAGATTGGTGAAGTGTTTATCTGTAATACTAGAAATAATGCACGTTCCTGTACAAGTATTACAACAAACCAACAATGTCCTATGCGATACAACAGTTAAAGTGAATTGTAGTTCTACCAAAACAATAAAGTTGTGTTTAATGGAAAAATACTTATTGTGCTTCATATTTTAAAAATCTTTTCCTGTTCTCAATAACCTTAAATGACTACATACAGGACAGTAGAGAGTGGGAGTAAGCGGTGCTAGCTACAGAGAACCCCCAAAATCAAGGTGGCTTAATTCAATAAGAGTTCATTTCCCAGGCAGCCATCCAACATTCACTGCCTTCCAGCACTTGCAGCTGTGCCATCTGGAACATACACTTGCTCGCCCCAGAGGCAGGAGAGCAAGAGCTGGAGCGCTGTGTTATGCTTTAAAGCCCTGGCCTAGAAACAGCTTAGACCCATGGGTCCCTGCTTGGGGGCGGGCAAGTTGGCCCAGGGCAGTGTGACACACACAGGGGCTTCCCAGGGTATTTAAAATTTTAGGGAAACAACATATATAACTATTGGACATGGCACTGACTGCTGCTGTTACGTTATTGGGACCTATTTAGCAATGGAACTGTCGGGTATTTCTTTTGGCCCTAGTGGCACTGTGAAAAAAATGATTGCGGTACTAAGGATGCTGTAATGAAGAGAGTCTGGAACTGCTGATTTAGAAATCAGCTGCTCTCTTCCATTAGCCAGAAATCACTCACATGCCCGTTTGACCCTCCATACAGCCTTCCCTCCTTGTGAGCACATAGAATGCTTCTGCCAGTCTGTCCTGATCACCACACCCTTTCCGCCCTCCTGCACGCAGTGCGTACTTTCTACTCCCAAGGGTGACGATCCAAAGTCTGACTGGGTCATCGTTTCCAACTCAAAAGTCCCTGGTCTCTCTGTTAGAAGCTTGAGCATGTAGGAGCAGCAGGTCAATTTGTGGGCTTCCCGGAAGGGGGTTTGGGTGGGTGTCCACTTAGTGTTTGCCTTTGGGACTAAATGTCAGTGTGTGTCAAAGGTCATTCTTGGAGCAGTGCAATTTCTCCAGAAGGGTCTAATCTGCAGAGGCTATCGGCCTGGCCACTGTGGAGTAGGCGGAAAGCTGCGTGGTGGGTGGGAGCTGGAGTTCACCCCCTTTGTACAGGCTCCCCCTTAATCTCTGTTAAACCTCACATCTCATTTCCAGCCCCCTGCAGGGCCACAGTACCCAAGTAAAAAGCCTTTCAAGTTGTATTTGGTAAAAGAGGACACCTTAATTTTCTGTTGGGGTCATGGAGGGATGGATAACCACCTGACCAGGAAAGGCAGAAGTGGCATCTTGGACTTGACCTGATCTTTATGCATATTAGCAAGTGCTGTCTCTTTTTACCCCTTGATTTCCACCCCAGCACTTCCAGAGTACCTTTACCTCCACCTCCCAAATCTTTCTGGATTTCGTCAGTGCCCTTTTAGAAGGCAGTTGTGCCATTTTTTTCCTGTGCTTAAGTCGATAAAGATTCCTCTCAGTTATGTGTCTTCATGTCATTTGGGGTGACATGTCTCAGTTTTTTATATCAACTTTATTGAGCTATAGACCACACAAAATTTACCTTTTCAGCTTTATTGCTGAAAATAATTGACATTTTAATATATTTAAAGTATACATGATTTCATATACATACACATTGTGAAATGATCCCCCCCAACCAAGCTAACATATCGATGATCTCTCGTTTTTCCTTTACTGCATGAGAACATTTAACTTTTACTCTCAGCAAATTTTATATAATAGTGTCATCAACTCTATTTACCACGTTCTACATTAGATCCTCAGACCTTATTCATCATATACCTGAATGTGCCCTTTACTAAGCTCTTTTTAGTTCCCCACACCCAAGCCCTGGCAACCACTTTTCTACTGTTTCTGCAGATTTCGCATATAAGTGACACCATGCAGTATTTGTGCCTCTGTCTGGCTTATTTCACTTAATATAATGCCTTCTAGGTTCATCCAAACTGTCACAAGTGACAGGACTTCCTTCTTTAAGGTTGAGTAATATTCCATCATATACAGGGTACTACTGTATTGAAAATAGCGCTGTCTTCTTTAGTACTTCACTTTAAAAATTAATTGTGCAGATTGTCAAGTGTACGTGAAAACTTTCCAAAATTCCAATAACCAATCAAAACTGTAGTGGCAAAACCTTACTTACATTAGCGACAATAATAAAGATCAATTGAACAGGTGAGTCTAGATATGGAACCAAGTTTCTATGAGTAGAATGCATATTAAAGATGTATTTCAAATCAAGGGAGGAAAGATGGATTATTCCATAAGTGGTGGTGGAAAAACTGGCTGGTACCTTGGAAAGAAGATGGATACCTATCTTACTCCTGGGACCAAAATAAATTCCAGAAAGAGATGTAGATGGGAGTGGAGGAAACATGAAGATCTGTGCTGCTCTTAAATTGAAAGAATACATTTATGCCCATGTAGGTGACTTTCCTGCCAAGTACGTACTTTGTGCTTGTACTTACACACTTTGGCATCCCTTGGACTGTTGTTCATTGTATTTATTTCTCCTTCCAAGTAAGTCAGGAGTCCCTAGCAATTTGCTAGCCGCCAAGCTCTTGTCTGTGGCCAACATTTTGTACTGGACACATTTTTCTAAAAATTAACTTGTTGAGGTATAACTTACATACAATAAGATGCACACATTTAAAGTTACCATTTTATGAGTTTTGACAAATTGTCTACTTTATATAATCCCTATCCCAAAGGACACTAAAACCACCCCCCAAAATTCTCTTGTGCCTCTTTGCATTCAATCCTAATCTATTCCCTGCTTTATCACCGATCTAACATAAAATTTAAACTGTATAAAATTTACAGAATAAAATGTGGGAGAAAAATTTTATGATCTTGAGCTAGGCAATGATTTCTTCAGTGAGAAAGTAAAAGCACTAACCATCGGAGGAAAAAAAGGATAATTATCAAAATTAAAAATACATGCTCTTTACTTCTGGCTTCTGGTCTGGCAAGTGTTGCACTGGCAGTCAACACTCTTGTCCTAACAAGGAAAAAAAAAGTTAACTAAAAACTAAAATATCAGCAACTCTCTTTACAATAGATCTAGCAGAGGACTGAGCTCATAGGGCCAAACACTGCCTGCAAAATCGGTGAGTCAGACAGGCAGATACACAGGATCACCGGTTATGGGAGAAGCCAAAGGGCAGAAACCTCCATATGAACCAATACCAGGTTAGGAAAACTGAAACTTCAATGAATTGCTGGAGGCTCAAGTGTGGGCAAGTTCGAGAGCTAAAAACACAGGGGCGTTCGATCTTAGGGTGTCCCCACGCTTTCCTGAGCTTTATCTCATGCCTGTTTTGTTTCCCCCATATAGGAAGGGGGACACAAAAGGGCAGGGACTTTGAATTTTTGTTATTTGTAATAGTGACTAAATAATTTGTTCCTAAGATTCCAAATTCAAAAAGTTCAAAAGGCTATACAGTGTAAAGTTTTTCTCTTAGTCCTGCCCTTCAGGCACTCCTGAGTTTTCCTGGGAGACTGCCAGGGGTGTCGGTAGTTTATTACACCTTTGCAGAGATTTTACACACACACACACACACACGCACGCGCACACACACTCTTCCGTCTTTTCATTGTACTATAATTGAACCCCTCCTCTACTTGGTGGCAGCATTGATCAATGGAATTGACATCTGAATGTCCAAGAGCACGGTCCTTTTCCATATGTTAAAGGCTTTTGTGTTCCTCGATAATGTTTAGATGTTTTCCTCCTATCAGTCTTGCACAATTTCATAGGCTTTATGTATATTCCCATGTGCTATCTTTTTTGTAGCTGTGGTGAAGGACACATTGCCTTCCTTGGCCTGTCCTGTTATGAAACTCACCTTCAGAAGAAGGAACAGAGTGGGCTGCCCGGAGAGCCCCGTATGTTAGCAATGAGTATTTCTTGTGTAGTCATAAATTATAAGGGGGTCACCTTAGGACTTTCAAGTCACCAATTTCTGCAGGGAAGGAGCTAACGCTTACTGGGTACCCAATATATGCGTGTGCCAGGCATTATGCTGGTGTTTTAAGTAAATGTATAATATGTATATGAAGTAGATAGCGCTATCTTACTTTACAGATGCAAAAAAATCAGAAGTTCAGGGTCATGGAGGCAGTAGACTTTTGGACTCCAAAGCCACTATTTTCTACCATAACCCAGAAGGAGCTGTAGTACGCAGTGAGGTGACTGGCTGCTGTTCACAATGAAATATTCATTCTCTATTGCTAATTACATACTATTTAAATGTACTTTATTAGGTGGCTCAAACTCATTACAACCACTCTTTCTTAGATAATAAAGGCTGTATACATTTTTACTAAATGGGTCCAAAAAATTAAGTAATCATCCAAATGGTTTCTAAATTCCATGTGTCATTTTTTTCATGCTTTCACTATCGTTTTCCCCAAATTTTCGCCTTTCAGCATTCCCATAAATGCAGCTGGCATGTTCTCAAATCCTTCAGTGACGTATTCATTGTACTGGATCTTACCCTGTATCAAAACAACAAATGTAACAGATGAATATCATATTCTAAATGATAGCACTCTTCCCATCTCAGCAACAAACGTATCAGGCAGGCCATGGGAAATTTGGAGCTACGCGCTGGAGGCCCCGTGAACGTAGAGTCACTCGGGGGGCATGATCCACCTACACAGTGCAAGTCACAGATTACAAGGTACACAGAAGAATGTAATGACAGGCATTAGATCACAGCATAATAAGAGGAGAAATGTCCCAAGGAAGTGATTATGCAATGTCTAAGTAAATTACATGAAAAAATTTAATAATGTCATGATCTCAGAAGCAGAGCGAGTCAATGGAGAAAGGAGCACCCCTCCGGGGGTCACCTGCGTTTGTCCTCCCAATGCCGTAGCTGCGTTGCCTCTGTCGGACCCCTGAGGGGGCAGAGCCTGTTCAGGGCATGTAAATACCATGGCACCTTAATAATCTGTCCTCCCTTCAAGCTAAGATTCCTTTCATGTGGGTCTAACATTCACTGAAGACTTTGGGAGAGAAGGGTTCATTTAGTGAGGAAGGCTTTTCATTCTCTACTACAAGGCACAGTCTACTGAGTGGAACTAATTCACATTTCCAAGTCTCTTCAAAGGGGTCTTATGGGGAGACCTGAGTTACAGATGTCATTTTTTCCCTTAATATAATCCAGTGATGGTTTAGCACCATTTATGGACTTATGGAGGGACCATTTGCTTGAGGTCACTCAACTAGTAAGTAGGGTAGCTGGTATTTGAACCCTTGGCTAGATAGTCCAAACGCACTCCTGCCCTTGAAGATGCAAAGAACCTGGAAAAGGTCAAAAGCTATAATCCAGTTTAAAGGTTAAAAGTAGAGGATGAATACTAATATTATATGTTAATAATATGGGAACTTAGAGTATAGGATATAGGGTATATGGGAACTCTCTACTTTCTTCATGATTTTTCTGTAAAACTATTCTAAAATAAAAAGTATTTTAAGAAGGTGAGCGATGAGAAAAAAATCAATAGATGAGAAATTAGGCCAATTCACTAGTTATTTAAAACAAAACTATAATTAGTTTCACTTTGTTACAGGGGCACATTAGGGACACCAGCATGGTGATATCTTGTTGTCAGCTGTGGCCATGGAAGCGCTAGATTCAGTTTCACCAACAGCGACAAAGAGGCTACACATTGGGAACTTAAAAATAATTCAGCTCTTCCCAGCTTCCCGGCAAGAGCCCAGCCCAGGACTCCAAGTGTTAGACTGGGAAAAATGCCAGCCTCCTGTGGTTGCCAGAGCAGCAATCTATTTCTCTGAACTGGGAAATGATCATAAAGCCAGCAATTAGGAAGTGTGATACCACTTTCCCCCTGTAAAAACTAAAATAAGGCACCTCAGTCACTCAGATTTCTATTGACTAAAACTCAGCATGGTGTTGGTGGGAAAATGACCACAGCACAGGCCAAAGAGACTGGCTTCTTCCTTTGGATGTCAAGGCACGACCTTAAGAAGACTCTCATACAGGACAGAGAAGAGCCACAGCACAGATATTTGCCCCTCATCCATTCGGCAATATTTGTCTAATGCCTACATCAATTCAGACACTCTTCTAGGTGCTGAGGGTACATCAGAAAACAGAATGCGTGAACGATGCTGCCTGCATACAGGTTACACTCTCATGGGCGGGAGATGGGCCATAAATTAATAAAGAAGTGAGTTATAGTATGTATAATATTAAAAGATGGGAATTGCTATGGAGAAAAGGAGGATCAAGAGGGAAAGGGGATTACAATTTAAAATAGGGTCATTGTAAAAGTTGCTTCATTCAGAAGGCAGCTTTCAGCAAAGACATGAAGGCGGTGTGAGCACTAAGCAGTTACGAGGGGTGGAGAGAGAAGGGGAGGGACCCGGCAGAGTGAGTAAAGTGAGTGAACACTAAGAAATGAAATTAGAGAGGTTGTGGGGGATAGATGACAGAACTAAGTTTTATTCCATGTGAAATGGGGAGCTTTGCAGGGCTCTGAGTGCAAGAATGACACGGTTGGATGTATGCTTTCAAAGACCCCTCTGGCTGTTTGGCTGGGAATTGAAGGGCACGAAGGTGGGGCCCAGATGGAGGCTAACACAGCATCCTGGACAAGCGCTGGCCCGGATCAGGGTGGTAGCAATGGAGGAGGGAGGGGTGGTCAGATAATCTCTGTAATTAGAAGCTCAAGCCACCAAAATTTTCCAACAGGCTAGACGTGGGGATGAGGGAAAGGAAGGAATCGAAGGTGATTTCAAGGCTTTTGGATGGAGCGACTACATGGGTAGAACTGCCACAACTGAGATGGCAAGGTCCATCTATGGAGCAGGTTTGGCAGGAAAGAAGAAAACATATTTCATTTCGACACGTTAAGTCGAAGATGTGTATCACACATCCAAGTGGAACTGTAGAGCAGTCGCGCTCAGGGGGAGGTGTAGGCGGGAGAGACATCTAGGAGCTGTCAGCCTATCAACACTTAAAGCCGGGAGCCCGGATGAGCTAACTAAGGGATGGAAAGAGTGCGGACAGAGAAGAAAAGAGGCCAGACTTCAGAAAGAATGGAAAGAGAGAGTATAGACAGCAAGTCCAGGTATTTTGCTATAAAATAGGGAGCAGTGGGATGTATTTGCGGTGGAAACTGGAGTTCTGAGGCACCAAAAAGGAACGGGATCCAGTGCACCACGGGAGGGAGTGGCTCTGGTGGCCCTTACCTCTCTGACCCACTTCAGCAAGTCTTCCAGAGCCTTCTGGCGGACCTCTCCTTGCCAGCGGTTGACGATGAACCCTTCTGTGCGGAGCTGCTTATAGATGATAACCTCTGGCGGTGGGCCTGCGGAGAGGAGGGCACATTTGGGCGACAGGGTCCAGGGAAGTGGCCGTGGTGAACACAAGCAGACAATTCAGGCCACTGTTCTCTTACTGCCTCCCCTTCCGTTTCCTCCACTCTGTTTTGATCCATGGGGCTGCTCACAAATTGACATGCACTCTGTGGTAGGCAGAATGATGGCTCCCCAAGATGGCTATGTCCTGATTCCCAGAATCTGTGAAGATGGTACCTTAGGTGGCAAAAGGGACTTTGCAGATATGCTTAAGAACATGAGGCGGGGAGATTACTACGTAGTATATAGGTGGGCCCAACAGAATCACAAGGGTGCTTGAAAGGGAGAGAGGGATGCAGCAAAGTCAGAGTCAGGAAAAAAAAATGTGATGATGGAAGCAGGAGCCGGGTGGGAGGGAGCGGGGAGAGAGTTGACAATCTTATGCTGCTGGCTTCAAAGATGGGGAAGGGGCCATAAGCTGAGAAAGGCAGGCGGCCTCTACAGCTAGAAAAGGCGAGAAAGCAGATTCTTTTGGAACCTTCAAAGGGAACACAGCCATGCTCACTCATTGGGGGCTCCTGACTTCTGGGACTGTAAGACAGTACATTTGTGTTGTTTTATGCCTTGCTAAGTCTGCGGCAATTTGTTAGCGCAACCCCAGGAAACACACAGTGCTCGCGCAGGTCAGACGGCCAGGGAGCGGTCGTCCTTGACATGCGAGAAGCAAGGCCCACCAAAAACTTCCCAAATGGGTCTATGGAACAGAAAGAGGGCCTGAGGATAACATGATACCATTTCTGCGCTACTCAGGAACGAATACCCTCACAATGCCAATACTAAGCGTGTTCTTCTTGATGGCTTAATGCAGTCATTCTATGGCAGAATCCCATCTCCTTCCATTCTGGACTCAGAGGAGATGCAAAACAACTAGCGTCCACCCCTGGACTAAGGGCCAACCAGAGAGAAGAAACCGAGAGGCTCAACAACTCCCACGCCTGCCCCTGTCCTCGCCATTTCAGGACACCAAGAGTTCGCCTGCATGCTGGGTCTCACACTCTAGCGTGTATCAGGATCACGTGCAGGGCTTGTCAAAAGAAATTGCTGGGCCCCTCCCCCAATTTCTGATTGTGGCTATGGAGTAGGTCCCAAGAATATGTATTTCTAATAAGATCCCAGGAGATGGTGATGCTGCTGGTCCTGGGCTCACATTTTGACAACCACCAGCCTAGAAGAAACACCAGGCTACCTTGCAGCCTGTAGGGCAGGACTATTCCGTGTGGGAGCAAAAAGGTTGTAAGGTTGCCCGGTTTCTTTTCCCAAGGCTCTCAAGTGATCAGAGACTGAGGGAATGTCACCTGAGCAAGTGCCAGGAAGTCAGGTTCAGTCAGGACCAGAAGGGACAAGACAAGTGGCAGAATTTATTTTCAGCATCTTTGAAAACTGCCGTCACACAAGGCTAAAGTTCCCACTCACTACTCTGACAAAAGTAACATTAGCAGCCAGAAAAACGGGGCTTCGTCCTGAGCTAAAGAGATCGATGCAAAGTGAGTGAGACAGGAGAGTGACACCCCCAAATTCGAGACTGGTCTTGCAGAAAGAGTGCTTCTGTAGAAGACCCCCACCAACCACATTTCTTTTTCGTATTACTGGTTGGAATCCTCATATCCTCATCTTGGAAGAAGAGGAAATACTGTTTCTGGGCTTTGTCCACTCTCACTGGAATGTGGGTTTCTTTTTTGAGAACCAAAAAAAAAAATGTGCCATTAAAGTTGGGGAACATAATTACTTGCCTCTGAGCTATCCTAACAGTGAAATACATTCGACTTTCCGGAGATCAGAAGCAGAACAGCATCCTAAGTGTTTAAGATGGAATGGACAAGGCCAGCTGATATCTCAAAGACTTATCTGAGCAACTGAACTTCCAAAGACTAATCGCTAAAAAAACTAGATCAAGTTGCTGTATCCAAAATATTTGGCTACACCTAATTGAACTGTGGTCAAGAAAATGCATCCTGGAGCTTTGCTCAATTGATGGGAAGAAGATTTCTCATGATTCTAGCTTAGCATCAATTAGAAAAATATCAGGGGAAAAATGGTTCCAAACAGTAAGATTGCCAAGTGAACCTGGAGTTTCCATCTTAGAGAAGGTTGTGTCCTTGATTTTTCACAGTTCGAGGGGGAATCTACAGGTTGTGTGTTCTTCCTTGGCCCCTTTCACTCTCAAGTGAGGATGCAAGTTGTGTTGTGAACTAGCAGGGCTATGAGGTTTCATTCCCGTGAGTCAAGCCCATCACAGAATGAATAACCAGTCTATTAATGCTTGCCTTGATCCTGATAATAATCTGGAAGATTCTTTTTTGTTCTTTCCCCCTTTTTTTGGACCACAGTACATCTGCTATCTCATCAACAGCACAAAATGTTGTAGCAGAAAAGGACTCTGTAGGAGTTGTTCAGAAGGCGTATCTTTGTTTTGAGGCTGTTGCTAATAGGATTTGAAGTCTCTGGTCTGCTCAGCCATTCATCACCCCATACCGTAAAACAGGAGACCTATACAACATGTCTCAGAGATGGGGGGCTAATGAACAGTTTTCTAGTTGGCACTGGTTTGTGACCTTTATAGGTATGGAGGTGGGAGGGGCGGTCTCAGCGTAAGAGAGTGAAGAGGTAAGGGGGTGGAGGGCATGGGTGGGCACAGGCAAAACAAAACAAAGAAAATCAAAGAATGGCTGGGGGTGGTGGAAATGTACGCTCCTTTCCCTTTTAGTGGCAATTGTGTTTGGAGAGGCCAGGGTGTCCTGCTGCTCTAGGAAGCTCTGCCCATGATTGGCTGAAGGAAACGGCAGCCTGCTTTCCCCTTTGCCCACCTCACGTCGCCTTCTACCCGTACCCACACCTCCAGCAACATCCCCAATGTCCTGAAGAACAGCCCTAATGTTTTACCAGCCAGACCAAGGTGTGCAGTTTCTAAATCAAATCATCACTGTCTTTACAATTTTTCAGAAAGTAGGTAAAAACTAAAACTTTTAGTATGTGTTTGTTCTACATTTTCAGATCCTGTTATTTCTTCACATAAAAACGTAAGCTGATAAATACTATTTCATCAAGAATGTCAGGGAGCCTGTTAAATATTTTGAGAGTTGCTGAGATGTTTTTAATATTCTGTTGCCATATCTGCAACTCTTCTCCCCACCCAGTCTTCCTACATCTGTGGCCATGTGCATGAGCTCCTTACCTGGGGGAAGTGGACGAGTAAGGTTATATGTGGAGATGGCCCCACATATAGCGATTCTTCCAAATGTCTTCATCTGGGGGATAACAGTGTTTGAAAATTCTCCACCTACCTAAACAGGAGGACCAAAAAAATAATAATAATAAAATAAAAAATAAAAAAAAACTTAAATAATCTAAACACTGGAAGATTCAAGAAAATTTTTCATTTATAATCATCATTTCACATTACTTGTCTTAGCAGGAACAGAACAGATTGAATTATCACAACAGTCCAGAAAACTGCACTTTGAAAAACACATTAGAAACTGAGCATTTCCGTTTTACTATAGGAACATAGTACTGTAGGAACTTATATAACATAAATCTTACTTCATTATACTGTGAAGTTCTCTGATCAGTTCAGTCACCTCATTGTCCTATCTAAACGTTTGAAAAAGTAATCAAATGGCATATAAAGAACAAAGTTGGAGGACTCACATTTCCCAATTTCAAAACTTACTGCAGAGGTCTATTAATCAAGACAGTGTGAAAAAAGAAATATAGATCAATAGAACTAAAATGAGAGTAAAAAAAACCTTGCATTTATGGTCAATTGATTTTGATAAGAGTGCCCAGCAACTCAATAGGGACAAAACAGTCTTTTCAACAAATGGTATAGAACAACAGGATATCCACATGGAAGCGAATGAAACTGGACTCCTTCCTTACACCATGTACAAAAATTACCTTAAAATGCACCACAGACCTAAACATGAGGGCTAAAACAATAAATCTCTTAGAAGAAAACAAAGGAGTAAATCTTCATGACCTCAGGTAAGGAAAAGTATTGGACATGACACCAAAAGCCCAAGTGACAAAAGAAAAAATAAATTGTACCACCAAAATTGAAAACGTGTGCTTTAAAGGTCACCGTCAAGAGGATGAAAGACCACTTACAAAAGGAACAGGAGAAAATATTTGCAAACCATATACAGTGAATCCTCATTATCACTGGACTCCATGTTTGTGAATTGGACCACTTGCTAAAATTTACATATGACCCCCAGGTCAATACTCACAGAGCTTTCCCTGGTTATCTGCGGACACACACAGGGCAGGGAGAGATGCAAAGTTCCCAGCCAAGGTCAAACAAGGCCATGGCTCTGCTTTCTGTCTTCCACCCTCATATGGAGACTTACCAGAGGGTGAAGGCAGTAGGGGGCAGTGCAGTTCAGTTCAAGAAGCCCTGGCTCTGGGGCCATATGGATGGGGTACGAACCCAACTGTGGAAGGATTCGTTCGTGGGGCAGCCTCAGGCAAGGGACTTACCATTTCACTGGACCTCATCTCCTCTTTTGTAAAATAAAGCAAGTGGAAGCTACAGGAAAAATTGTTTCGGGACTTAAGATTGTAATTTATGTAAGATGTGTGCATACACGTACATACTTTTTCTAGGAGCAAAGAATGGTTCAGTAACTTTATAGAACATAACTACCTGGAATACCTAGAACTGTTGTATCCAATAAGGAACTTGTGTCCAGAATGTATAAAGAAGCCCTACAACTCAATGAATAACCCAACTGAAAAACAGGCAAAGGATTTGAACAGATATTTCTCCAAAGAAGATAAACAAATGGCCATTAAGCACATTAAAAGATGCTTAATATCATTAGCCGTTAAAGAAATGCAAAGCGAAATCACCATGAAATTATCATTTCAAACCCTTTAGGAACGCGATAATAAAAATGATAGATCGTAAGTGTTGGCGAGGATGTAGGGATATTGGAACCCTCATATGTTGCTGGTGAGAATGTAAAATAGTGCAGCCATTTTGAAAAAAATAGTTTGGCAGTGCCTCAAAATGTTAACCGTGAAGTTACCATATGACCCAGCAATTCCATTCACAGGTGTACACCTGAGAAACGAAAACATATATCCACTCAAAAACTTGTACATGAATGTTCATAGCAGCGTTATATAATAGCCAAAAAGTATAAATAACTCAAATGCCCACTAACTGATGAATGGATAAATAAAATGTGATATATCAATACAATGGAATGTTATTTGGCCACATAATAAGGAATGAATCACTGATACATGCTGCAACATGGCAAACCTTGAAAACAGGCTCAGTGTAAGAAACCAGTCACAAAAGACTGCTTTGGGGGGAAGTGGATAGTGAATGCTAGAAAGTACAGCATTTCTTTTTATTTTGACAAAAATGTCCTAAAATTGATTGTGGTGACAGCTGTACAATTCTGTGACTATACTCAAAACTATTGAGTTCTGTATTTTAAACGGTGACATATCACAATAAAGCCATATCCACTTTCTTCATAGATTTTAGATGGAAACTCCAGAAGTATATTCCCTTGCATAGTTACTTTGTTAGTAAGTCACATTTTAAGTCTAATTCATACTTACATTATCAAAATAACAATCGTAACCATCAGGAGAAGCTTTTTTCAAAGTTTCTTCCAAAGACTCCACTGTCTTGTAGTTAAAGGCAACATCAAATCCAAGCTTTTTAAGGTAGGCAACCTTATGATCCGACCCCGCTGCTCCAACAACTTTGCAGCCCTAAGTGGGGAAAAAAATGGAGACCATTTATAAAGTTACAAGCATAGACCAATTCCACCCTCCTAGTCTAATATGGTCTGGTTCCCCTAGAACACTTTCTGAGGTGCTGAGCCACGCATATATGAGGATACCCCGATGGGCCAAAAGGCCCCATAAGTGAACTTAGTCCCTGAACCAGCCTACAGCCCAAGAATAACTCTGGCTTTGCTCCAACTGCCCAACACATCGTTTCTATGTTCACGTGGTCTGCAGTTCATTTCAACCTGCTGTCTTGACAACATATTCATTTCCCTCTCCTGTTTCTTCATTTTGGGGCTTCCCTTCCCTTGGGATGGCTCGCATGCTATCTCTTGGTGTAGTCGTCCATTAGACTATTATTTGGGCTCAGTTCTGGGACTCTCATTTCATAGACGGCCCTCCTGGTAACTGCCTAAAAAGCACTTTCAGAATAAGACTAGAGATTATATTGGCACATAGAAAGTAGCTCTTCAGAGAGTTCTCTTGTGTTCTGAATGTATCGTGAAGACCAGACTGCAAGCCACTGTGTGCTTTCAATTAGGGAAAGATCTTTGGGTTCATACATGTATCTGTACAAACAATGCCTGCTATATACTTTCTCCATTCCTTCATGATTCAGGAAAAAACTCTTTTGCAAAAGCTGCATCCTTTGTCCTTTAGTCTCTAGTCTTACACACTCACAGGATGATCTCATTTTCTTTTACGACCTCAGTGCCTCCATCACATGTGTGATACCTTCATCTATTAACTCCAGCCCGCGTCTCTCTTCTGAGTGACTTCCAAATCAGTATTTCCAATAACCTTCCTGTGGACAGCCTGGAGGGACCTCATAATCAATGTGTCTAAAACGTAATGCCATCTATCCTTGCTCGTTTGCTTGTTGCTCCTCTTCTATTCTCTACTGTAATAAATGGTATCACTCAGTCATCCACACGTGAGCCACATGGATCATGGGAGATGGGTTTCGTTCCCTTTCTATCCACATCCAGTCAGCAGGTGTCATTCTTTTCATTTTCATTTTTTTCCTTGTTTTACCAAATATCCTTAGACGCTGGTCCTGACCTCCAATCTCTTCGGTCAGTGCATCACACTTTTCACCTGAATTATTGTAAGAGCCTCCTTACTGGACTCCTTGTCTCTGATGCTTTGTCCCAGAGCAACTTCTCTAAAATGCAGAGCTAGTCATGTCTCTCCTTTAAGGATTAAGCACAGACTTTTCCATAGGACCGTCTCCAGTCGGGTTTCCAAAAGGATAGCTTTGAGGGTAAATCCTATCAAACTTTTGAAATAAATATCCCTCATAGTTTAAAGGAAATATTTAACATTTGATTATTGGAAAGTTTATTAACTCATTTTGTAAGTCTAGCATAACCCTAAGCTAAACACCGATGAGAAGTTCAGAACAAAAAAAAAAACAAACTAACAAACAAACTTTAAACCAAATTCATCTCCATAGATGCAAAAATTCTATGTAAAATGTGATTAAATAAAATTCAAAGATACAAATCCATAATATACCATAGGTAAATCGAGCTTATTCCAGGAATGCTAGAATGGTTCAATACTGGAAAACTATGGGAATTCATTAGCTGCAAAGTTAACCTGGTAAATGCTGAAATGACATTTGATAAAAGGCAGTATCTATTCCTATTTATTTACTTACTTATAAATAAATTCTCCTGCAGCCCCAATGGTAGCCTCATCTCTTATTTGTATTCCAAGCTCGCATTAGCACTGGAGACCAGCCTGAATCCCTGGCTATTGGCTGTAGCTCCATATTCATAAGTATTCTGCTCGACTCTTTCCCTAGGAGCTAGGTCCTGAATTCTGCATCCCAGCCTCTGGCAAAGGATCAGCTAAGCCAGATCACCTTGCAACTTTCCCACCACGTGACACATCCTAACCGCGTCTGAGCAGCCCGCTGCCTGTACCCCTGCCATCACATCAGATCTCTTGAACACAGACGCCTGCCCAAATCAGAGCTGATGCTTCCACGTCCTCAGTACCTCCCAGGAGTCAGCGCCCAAACCATGGCCCCACGGCTCCAGGCTGACTGCTGTAGCCTTTGCGATGGGGCCGCGTAAGTGACGACTCCTGGTTGGCAGATCTCAAGCCGCTCCTTCTGTTGCTGGGGGAAATCAGAAAGAGAGAAGACAAGGCGGAGCAGGAAATGTTCGGCAAAAGCTACGAAAGCAGCTACTGCTTACAAACTCATTCCTCTAGACAGAGGCCGTTTACGATTTGACGGCTGCAATGTTGTCAAATAATGCTCAGGTCATCTTGGCTACCCCATTTTTCTCACTCCCTCCATTTCTCAGTCATTCCTAATCTTCAATTTCTGAACAAGAGCCATGAGACTAAATTCCGAGACTAGGGGTGTCTGCTGTGTTCGCTGTCACGTTCCCAGCACTCACGGTGGGTGTGGAGTAAATGTTTGCTTCTGAGGGAGGGCGCTTACCTTGAGCTTGGCTATCTGCCCCACGACAGAGCCCACGGCTCCCGCTGCCGCGTTCACCAGCACAGTCTCTCCACCCTTCACTCCACAGATGTCCAGAAGGCCAAAGTAGGCTGTTAGGCTGAGGAAAGAAAATTAAGGATATGTGGGTAGATGTGTTGCTTTCCCCTATAACTCATTCCAAAGACCTTCTCAGCAGCCCGCTGCCATGGATCCAGGTAAAAGAAAACAAGAGGAAATAAACATTACCAGCCACTAATGGTCTACCTCCTCCTTCCTTCCTTCCTCCCTCCCCCAAACAGAAATAAAGATGATGGGACTAGGGTGGGAATGGAGAATTGGCTGGAAGGGGGCTACATCCTGTCCGTCACCAGGTCAATGAAGAGAGGTCCCCCTTAAACTCTGGGGATCCAAGACCAGAGAGCTTGTGCCTTGTTCCCATTAAAGTCCTAGGGAGATGGCAGGCGTCTTGGGAAAAGCCTGTATGTTATCCTGATGCATCACCACAAAGCAGATATAATGGCATGAGGGGCCTAGGCATGACAGGGTCAGAGAGAAACACCTTGAGTGTCCCATGGCTCCTGAGCAGCACGGAAGAACTAAACCCCTTCACCTCACTGCGACAGGATGCTGCAGTTAGCTTACGGGGGAAGTACTACCAGGCCTGCAAAGACGCAGCTCGGATGGTACGGGTGTGGAGTGGGTGGAGAAACCGCCAGACCTCAGCGCATTGCCAGCTTGGAAGATGTGGCTGAAGACACAATGGGGAAAGTTACACTCGGGGCAGGAGACCAGCCTGAAACTAAGACGGATCAAGCTCAAAAAGTTGTTGTTCCCCCTTCTGCTGACGCTGAAGTTGCATCAGCCCCTGGAGCTTGTATCAACCCGAGGGAAAATAGAAAGGAAATTCTGAGCTTCAAACCTGAAATCATGTGAGAAATCACTGTACTGAAATGAGTTTTTATTTTTCTACACCAGCCAAAATGAGGGTTTGAAATAGAAATACAATGCAATAGTAGAACAATTTTAGGTTTTATTTTGCACGCCCGAGTCTGAGCCAATGAAATCCATACCCATTACGGTGACCATTAAGCCACTTTCCAAATTTCAGACAAATTCATGAGACGTTATTTCCATGTAGACAGCGCCTACGTGTTGGCAAAACTTCAGCTTACTCTGCCTCTGCCTATATTGGAGGGTCCATGAGAGCTGAGCACCGAAGGGAAAGGCAGTGGAAGGCATAGGCAGCCCTTTTTCCAAGGACCCAAATATCTAATAGTCCCTTAACACAGTGTTTTTCAAAAGATGAATGGAGCACCACCTGCCTCAGAATCACCTGGAGTGTTTATTAGACATTCAGATTCCCAGGCCCCACCCTAGACCCGCTGATTTAGAAATTCTGGGATGTGGAAATCTGAATTTTAATAAGTCTCCAGTGATTCTTGTGAATACCAGCCACTGAGAACCACCACCTTCATGAACGCTGACGCCAGAGTATGCTGGGCAAGCGGGCCTACCCACCAAAGAGAAGCTGAGGGCACCTTCTCTGATTGTGTCATTCCTCGCATGATAACCAGGATCTCCCTTCCCCCAATCTGCCCTGTAGGCATTTCCACAGTCAGCTTTCCTTTTAGAGAGGGGGAAGGGAAGGAGAGAGGGGAAGAAACATCGATAGGTTGCCTCTCGTACTCCAGGGACCAAACCCCCAACCCAGGTATGTGTCCTGACTGCGCATTGAACCGGTGACCTTTTCCATTTTGGGATGACGCCCAACCAACTGAGCCACACTGGTCAGGGCTCCATAGTTAGCTTTCAATTCAATCTATTGATCTAAGATTCCCAAGGCCTTTCCCAACATCACCTCTTTTTAAAAATAAAATGAAGATAACATGGAGAGGCCAACAGTAAAGAAATTCTAGGGGGAAATTCAAGATACACTTTAAAGGAAGCAGGACCTTAACAGAATCAACAGGCTGGACAGCAAAACATACGAATTCTTCCAACTCAACTTAGAAAAAGAGAAAGGTCCTATTGAAGGCAATAATCCATACTCTGGGGGCAACGTTAAATCTGCGAAGCTTGGGTAAATGTAAGATACCCCTAGGTTTCAAAGTTGAACTTCTTTTACGGCCCGTGACAGAAGCCCCGACATTCTCGAAGGGTTGACCTATCCAGCTCATAATGGCAGGAATTCTCAAAGGAATTCGGTTGTGTCACCAGCGGCGGCTAGAAACAGGCATGACATCATTCCTCCCCCACCGTCACCGAGAACAGCTGGTATAAAGTTGACTGGAGTAAAAGTGCACTCTTTAGGGCCTTGGAACAGGCAGGTAAGAAATATACACAAAGGAATACACTGTCCTCTCTTGTAGGAGTCAAGATCTCCTAATATTTTGCAAATTACTTTCTCCCCAACTAAGTCATAAGAGACTTTCTCTTAGGTCCCCTCCTGCCTCTGCGCTCCCAACACGTGGCTCACAATTTCAAGAAGGACATATGGGATGATGACAAGGTGGGAGGAAGGGCTCTTGCTGGTAGAGGGTACGGGACAGGCGCAATGACCAGAAAGTGCTGTAATTCTGTTTAGTGCCCACTAATTTAATGTACCGTGGTATTAAGCATCCTCTAATTTCACAGTGTCTCTTGGCTATGGCAATTCTGAACAGTTCACATTCTGAGTGGAATATGATTATGGGGTATGTGGGACTGGTTTTTGTTAGAGGCTGATCTTGTGAGGGTATATGTTTCCATTTCATTTTTTAAAAGTCCTTCAAAGTATGAAAAAGAAAGAGGGCATGCAAGTGTGAAGAAAGGAGGAAGAAAGGAAAGAAGGAAAGGAGGAAGGAGGGGGGGAGGGAGGGAGAGAGGGAGGAAAGATTACACAATGTAGTGAAAGAATGGAAATAAATGAATTCCAGGCTAGAAAAGTTTTGGGGACTTCAAAAGGAATTTAATCAATGTTTCTTTTCCAAGGCATAAAAGGAAACAGGAGGTCCAAAGTGCAGCTGGGACCTGGAGAATAGACACAGGATGAATTGACCAGGAGTCTTCCTGAAAGGTAGGAAGAACTTCCTGAGGTCAAGAGACACTTAAGTATTTTAAATCTGTGCTAAGCTGAGAGACTGAGCCACCATACCTGTGATTCATCTTAGTTACCATATTTTGCCATGTATAATGTATACAATTTGCTCAAATTTTTGAGGGAAAAATAAGGATATGCATTATACATGAGTCGCACTAAACTGTGGGTGTGCATTACACATGGCAAAACTCGGTATTTAATGTTTAGGTCCGCTTGCCCCTCAGGAAACTCAGGTTATAGCGAAAGAGGAGGAAGAATACAGGTACAGAAAAGGCAAAGTAGACTGAACTCCTTCCCTTTTAAATTATGAAATGGAGGCAGAGATGAGTGATGAGTGAAACTGGGACCCTCCTGGGGACAGGAGGAGGTGGTGCCTTTGAGTGACCGTTTGCCAGCTGCTTAGGAGGGACTGGGATCATGCCCCACGTTGCTCCTGGCTCCGTCTTCCCCCTTGTACCTGAGTGTCCCTGATCCCATTCTCACCCTCTGCCCTTCCGTCCCAAGGCTAACTCTAGTCTAGCCTGCTCTGCTTGCCTCCTTGATCCTAGCATCTCTAATCAGCCCCTGAGACTAGAATGTCTTGTCTCTTCTTACTGACCAAGTTCTGGACAAACCGTTTTGGAAATCCAGAGTGTCAGACGTTCAAACAAATGACGTATACTCACAAAACTCACCCTGGCATGCCAACTGTTCCCAGCCTCAAAGACAGAGGTAATGTGTCTGGCCAGTTCTCAGGCAGCCTCTCCAGTTCTTTCCCATCAGAAATGGAGTGTGTTGTCCAGCCTGAAAAAGCCAAAACTACACTTCCTGTTGGGAAGGCTGAGTTTTTACTTTCCACAACTCTGAAAGAAAAAGCACATCAAAACACGTGAAACCTCTTGCCTCTACAGAACCGGGGATGTTGTGTGGTTAGTGTGCACAAGGAACACTGAGGTTGATATTCCACAAATGACTACCCTGCCCCTCCTCTCCTATCTCAATTCTTAGCCATTGGTCTTTCCTTCTGCAGAAAATATATGGGCCATCACAGAGGGACTCCCGCAACGGGTCGAGCATCTATCCGTGTCCTAAGCCATTTCTTCTCTCTATAAGTAAGCGATGTCCATCCTCTGTCTCAACATGCCCTGGACACCAGTTGCTTATGGTCTTTAGGGCTCACCCTCCAGTTCCTTAGCCCTTCCTCCCTCCTGATTCGTTAACATTTTCCTCTCTACCATCTCTTTCCCTCAGTATATAAGTATGCCCAACCCCCCCCCCCCCCATTTTACAATCCCCATTCTCTCCCTCCCTGCCTCCAATGTAATACCGCTACTCCACGAAGGTCACAACAACCCCTGATAGCAAAATCCAGTGGACACTCTTCATTCATTATCTGATTTGACCTTTCTATTGTTTTCAACACCCTGGGTCACCCCAGGGGTTTTTACCTATCCCTCAGTTGCTCCTTTTTTTGGTCTCATTTGCTGATTCTCTTTCTTCCATCGTCTCCCCCTCTTCTCACTTTTTTACTATTCCCCCCTGCCCAGATCATCAAGTTATTACTATATAGCATACATTTATTTTAGAAAACTTAAAACACATAAAATAAAAATATCAGTTCTAATTCCATGAAACAAAGATAACTTGGAATATTCTGGTGTGTTTCATGGCAATCTTAATGATATATTTTTAAATGTGTATACATGTATGTACAATGATTGAAGTAATTTTATGTCTCATAACCTAATTTTTCTTTCTCAACATCATACTAGTCTATATAACTTACACTTTTTCTCATATTAGTAAGAATCTTTCAAAACCTTTAATGAATTTATTTCCCCATTATTAGACATTTATACTACTTCCAGTATTTTTCCTAATGTAAATCACACATCAATTTTCATTCATAAAAAAAGTTTATTATTTTCTTAGGCAGTATTTCTCTAAATGAAATTACTACTTTAAAGAGTATTAAAACATTTGTAACTGTTGCTGTATATTCCTTTCTAGGTTATGCCAACTTTTGCTTCTACACTCAACGTGTAAGAGTATCATAACAACATTTTTATTACTGGGTATTATGTAAAAAAAACCTTTGCCAATTTAGCAAACACAAACACACGTTCATTTCTTTGATTATTAGCAAGAAATGTGCAAGACGTACATGAAGGAAACTGTTAAATAGGCCATCACACAAACATGGATAAATGGAGTGGTATAATTTATACTTAGAGAGAAATATTGTAGAGATAGCAGTTTTCTGTAAATGAACCTATAAAACCATTGAAGTCTCATAAAACTCCAAATAAGATTTCAATAAATGGTATAACTAACTAGTCATTTGGACATCAAGTAAACACTTCAGTCCTTATTCCAAAATAAATTAAAATGACTCCAAGATTTAAACATGAAAAATGTGAAAAATATAAATAAAAATACTAGAAGAAAATATTTTAGCCATGTTGATGGGGAGAATGCCTTTCTCATCATGCAGTGAAACCAAGAAGTCATAATTACAAATATTAATAATGTAATCTCATAAAATGTTTAAACAATGATTAGACACAGGAGAAAGATAAAGATAAACAAAGACCCTACTATTCCTAACAGAGGAGAAGCTTTTACAACTCAATATAAAAGATGAAAAGACCTAAAGGAAAAGGGTAAAAGACATAAGCAGATAATTCACAGAAGAAGTTGATTATTAATTTACAAAAAGGATGTCGACATCACTAATACTGAAAGAAATGCAAATTAAACTGAGCATGAAGTATCAACATGTTCATCTCACATTGCCAAGACTGAGGGTAAGCACTGGGCATATAGGTTTGTGGGACACAGGGTCTTCAATATTATACTGGTGGAAGCAGAAACTCATACAATCACTTTAAGGACCAACTCTTTATCACAAACTCTTCAAATTAAAAATGTGCAACTTCTTTGATCTAGAATTTATACTTCTGGAAATTTAAGGTAAACGATATTCATCCAAGTGGTCAAAGAATACACAGATACGCACATATAAGTGCATATATATTCCTTGCAGAACTATTTGTAGTAAAAAAGAAATTGGAAAGTTATAAGTAGTGGATTCGTTAAATGGCAGATAACAGGCATAATCTGCAGCCATTAGAAGATAGGTAGTATAATTACATACTATCGACAAAGGATATCCATAATATATCGAGAAAAAGCAATTTGCTGAAGGGCATTTAATCCCATTTTTAAAAAATAGAAATGTTAGTATGTGTACTGACAAAATTTTGAAATAATAAACAGTCATCTCTAAGGTTGAGATGATGTGGGAAATTCCAGTTTCCAAGATATAAATTTTTTGCTTTATTTGATTTTTTATAAAATAATTATGAACTAGACAAACATTTTCTTTTTTTTTTAGTAATTAAAAGTAAGGATAGCAACATGAAATTGAAATGATGAAGATTTCACAGTCCTTCCTCCCTTCCCATGAGTCAGGAAAAGGGCACAATTCCCAAGTTGCTTAAAGTTCAGACAATGAGTGAACTACAAATGCTGAAGAAATTGTGAGAGCAATGGATAGAGACAGGGTCCAGCAGAAGGTCAAGGAGAGACATATTTTCCAAACACTGGGACAAACAGAAATAACTACCTGGCCACTTGCTCCCCCATCATCATATCGCCCTCTTTCAATTGCTTGGCCGCCACTCTGAAAACAAACAAACAAAAGAAAAACATGCTTAATAATGAAGAGCATCTGAGAAAAGCTGTCTTGAGTTTCAAGCCACATGGAAAACCACTGGGAAGCGTGTACAGAAATGAAACTCAGATACATGAGGGCAGTACAACTGGGCGAGATGTCGGGGGAACTGATACAGGTAGTTCTGTGCTGCAACTCCAAAGCATTCTGGTGACATTTTTCCATGAAATGAACATGAGAAAATTACCGTAATGCTCCATGGTGGGTGAGTTTCTACCAATGACTTTAAAAACATACAATAACTCGGGTACCACTGGGTACATGTTATCCCAAACACTAGCTGTGATATTGTGATTTATAACAAAAATATACATTTGGTCTGTCCTCCTTTCTGCCACAGAGATCCTAAAACTCCTGGAATTTCCTAAGTGGTGGGAGCCTTAAAGGTGTCTTTTGTCATGTTAATGAGGTAGCTTTGGGAAAGATTGTGGCTGAGGGTTAGAACTTTTATCCCTACCCACACCCTTTACCTGTAGGAATGGGAGAGGAGCTGGGGGTTGAATCATTAGCCAATGGCCATGGATTTAATCAACCATGTAATGGCAAATGGCATTTTTGTAATGAGGCCTCCATGAAAAAATCCAAAAAGGCAATGTTCAGAGAGAGTCTCTGTTCACGAGTACGTTGAGACGTGGGGAGAGTGGTGCCGTGGAAAGCACAGAGAAGCTCTCAGCCCTGGCCCCATACCATGCTCTATGCGTCTCTCCTCTGGCTGTCCCTGAGTTACATTCTTTTATAACAAACTGTGACTTTGTGAGTAAACTGGTTTCCTGAGTTCTAAGCTGCTTTATCCAGTTAAATGAATCCAAGGAGGGTGCGTTTTAGAAACTGCAGGCTATAGCCCTTTAGGCCAGAAGCATAGATCCTCTGACCTGGTCTTGCAACTGGTGCCTAAAGGGAGGTGGACCATCTCGTGGGACTGAGCCTTTGATGATCTGTGGGATCTGACACTATCTCCAGGTAGGTAGAGTCGGAAGTGAGTGGAATTGCGGCACTCAGGTGGTGTCTAAGCTCTGATTATCTGTCAGCTATTAAAAAAAAATGACTGTATTACCATATTTTGCTGTGTATAATGCGCACTTTTTGCCCAAATTTTTTAGGGGAAAATAAGGGTGCCCATTATACATGGCAAAATTACCTCGGCAAAAAATTTATGAGGAGTTGGTGGCCCACAAAGGTGTTTATTCTCTCCTCTCCCTGAGAATTTACTGAGTGTGAGTCAGTTGCAGACTACCCAGATTAAGACAATGCAGGGAGACAGAAGGCAAGCAAATCTAACTTTAGTCTTAGCATCTTTCTCTACTCAAATTATTTGCCAGTAGTGAAGTGGACAACTTGGAGATTGGCTTCATTTTTCTTCTAATTTTTCTGGAAGCAATTCTGGTGAGCAGTGAGAGGCAAACTGTGGACACTGAGATAGGAGATGACTGTGAAATGAAAGGGACAAGGTAATCCCTCATCGAGCGTCTCTGAACTTTGCCTGCAAAAGGGGAGCACCCACGAACCCCACTACTGACACTGTCCGGGGAGAATGAGGGGGGAAATGACTTTGGAATCAGATGAATATTTTAAAAGATTAACTACTTTAAAAGAGGGTCTTAACACACAATATGAGAATTTTTAGGAGGGAAATACTACCTCATGTAAGGATCCACAGTGAGGAACAAAGCTTCCAGCAGGACCTCTACAAAAAGCAAGCATACCACAGGCGGTTAGAAACGCAAGGCCTGATGCCTTTGTTTTCTCTGACGTTCTAAATAAACACAAGTAATCTTTCTGCTCAAGGCAGCCCTCTCCTCGGTGCTTTCTACCAAAGAGGCAAGAAGGTCTCTGACATCAGGCCCAGCCCACCCAGTGGCTGTTGATCATCATCATCATCTTCTTCTTCATCATCATCATCATCATCACACTTACCCAGCACTCCATGCTTTTCACAGATTATTTCATATAGTATTTCCCACAATTATTGTTTCCATTTATTTAAGCTTAGGTTCAGTAACTTGCCCAGGGCCACATCTGTAACCACTGTGTGACAGGGCTCGCACTGGGTTTTGTTATCAGTTCCAGTTGCTATTAAAGAATATGCATGTTGCTGGACCGACCCTCATGTACCCATTCTCTGGAATTTTGAAGTTGAATCCTGGCTATCCCAATGTAGATGGACTGATAACTTTGCCATGTTACTCAATTGCATGCCCTTTTTGCAAAGCTTACCTACTTGTAAACACCCCTTATAGACACTCCTTAGAGTCTGCTCTACAAAGCTCACTTCCAAACATGTTATGAAGTATGTTGCCATTTTCCTCCCTTAGATTTCTTTAGGTCTGACTAAATGCTCCCCCCGAGTAGAGAGGAGCCTCCTCAGGGGAGGAGGAGGGCTTTTAACCTCCTTGTCTCCTCACAGAGAGAGTCTGAACTCTGCACACAGACTACCTCTACCCCACTGTCATAACCGGATTTACCAGGACAGAGAGGAAATCTTCCCATGGTCTCGGCCAAGTCATGAAGACGAATGCACCCAAGCATGAGTTTCAATTAGCAAGAAAGAAGAGGGATCCTCCAACATGAACTCAAGGTTTCACACAGAAGACTTTGAAAAAGTCTCTGTGGCAGATTGCAAGATGGCCACAAATATCTCCCCTCTCTGTGCAGGCCTCTTTGTCATTCTTCCCAACAAGAAGTCTATTTCTCTTTCTTAGATCTTGGTTTGGCTACGTGACTTGCTTTGGCAGGTTTACTAGCAAACATGATATGGGTAGAGGTTTGAAAAGTGCTTGCACATTGGAGCTTGGCAATTCTTGCTGCTTTAGATCCGGGTGACCACTGTGAAAATAAAGAGCTCAAACGAGCCTGCTAATCAGGCCACTGAAATGGGGCATAAACTGAGGCCACAGAATTGTGTGCTAATAAATGATTGTTGTTTGAAGTCACTAAGTTTGGGGTAGTTTGTTATGTAGCAAAGGCTGACCAATACAACCTCTTGCAACTCAAATCATATGATGATGCCTTACCTCCATTTTTTAAGGACGGAAGTTCAACTGTCTTCAGCTCAAAGTTACTATTTTTTGGGTGGCCCTCAAAGTGCTTCTTCAAGGTCCACCGCTTAGCATGAACCATCCTGAAGTTCCTAGAACACAGAAAACATGTAGTCAAATGTCATGAAATGACTGGATTATTATGGCTCTCTTGGCCACTGCACTGAGGCCAGGCAGCAGGGTCTACCCACCATCTACTTCTCATTATCATTTAGCCTCAGCCACACATTTATTTAGTATTCACTATGTTTTTGTTGCTATGCTAAGCACTTCATATGCATCATCTCATTTTATCCCCATAAACTTCCCTGTAAGATAGGCACTGTTATCATTGCCAGCATACAATGTACAGAAGAGAAAACTGAGGCTTCCTTGGAAATCTTCAAGGCCAAGGGAAAATGTAAACCAACACAAAAATTCTTCCAAGCTAGTGCTAGGGTACTGAACAGCTACTTGATGTGCAAATATTCCATTTCTCGTTGCACACAAAGTGAATTCCAAGAAACAGCGTCAAACACAAAGAACTGATCAGAAATGTATGCACATCTTTCGAATGGATAGAACAGTGATTTTCAACCTTTTTCATCTCATGGCGCACATAAACTAATCACTCAATTTCTGTGGCACATCAGAAAATATAGTATATTACAGAAAACATATATTTTGCTGATCTGACCAAGAAAAAAGGTGTACCATATTTTGCCATGTATAATGCACACTTTTTTGCCCAAATTTTTGAAGGAAAAATAAAGATGTTCATTACATATTGGTAGTACTAACTTCATATCTATATAAATGTTTTAAATTCTCTTAGAAAAAGATTTTATTTATTTATTTTTAGAGAGAGGAGATGGGAGGGGGAAAGAGAGGGAGAGAAACATCGAAGTGCGGTTGACTCTCCAGTGTCCCCAGCTGGGAACCTGGCTGGCAACCCAGGCACGGGTCCTGACTAGGAATAGAACCAGCGACCCTTCGGTTTGAAGGATTGCACTCAATCCACTGAGTCACACCAGCCAGGGCTAAATATGTTTAATTCTTTTATTTATGCTTATGCATTAAAAGTATAACTCTAGAAAGCAATAACGATATCTGAATGCAAAAATAATACCCTGGAGCAGATCATCGGTTTTGCTTCTAAATATAAGTAAGTAAGTAAATAAATAAATAAATAAATAATAAATAAATAACCGAATTAAAAAATTAAAACAAAGGTTTTTTTCCCTGAGAGTTTGGGCCAAAAAACGTGGGTGCGCATTATACATGGCAAATGCGGTATTTTTGATTCATTCACACCGGCTGGCTACTGTTGTGTTGGTTGTTGTTCGTTATTTTATTTGACAACCTAAGGGAAAAGAGGTCAGTGCTCCTGGCTAAATAGTCACGTATTGTATGTTTTAAAAATTTTTGTGGAAGTCGGTTGAAAAATCTCTGGGATAGAGAGACTCGTTCTAAGTTTCAGGAACAAATGGACGCCACCGGGTGGCGCTGCTGCTCCGACCCATTCTCAGGCGTGAGTTTTCTTCGGCTCCAAAATGGAAATCAAGCATTTGTTTGGATTTAAAATCGCCCGCGCACAAAATCGAGAGAAGATCCTTCACGCGGTTCTGAATTGCCCTCCATCACCAGGAACCGCGCCTTCCCCACCAGTGATGCAGCAGCCACTGGTGATCTCACTGTGTCCCCAGCACTGCTGCGGGGCACTTGTGACCTGGACGGGACACTTCGGCATTGCCAGTGGAAAGATCAGATCCGCAGCCCTGCTCCTTCCTTCTAGTTTCTTTTTCCAAAATGGCAGCCGCTGAGAATTCTGAATTCGTCACAGTCCAAAAGGCCCTTAAGAAAGGGCCTGGCGGTTCTGAGAGCGTCCCACCCACGCGAGCAAGGGAGCCAGATGTGTGCCCGGGGCAGGCACTCTCACCCCGGGCTCCCCGCTCCTCTCTCCGCGCTCCGCGTATACCTGAGCTCACTAAGGGAACTCCGAACCCTGTCTTGTAGTCCCAGTTTGCAGTCCCGCAGGTTCCTCAGCCAGTCCCTTCCCCGGAGCAGCCGTAATTCCAGCCAGGCCACCCACTCCGCTCCAGCACCCGTTTCCGGTCTTTTTAAGAAGTTGCAGGGAGCGGAGGCTCAGGAACATCTGCTCGGTTTTCTCCGAGCTCAAGGCCCAGAGGCTATTCAGCAAAAGGAGAGGGAGAGCAACGCGCAAACGCTCCGCGAAGGGTATCTAGACGCTCAACAGGAGGAAAAAATTGGAGCCCGAATGGGCATCTTTACTTACAAGAGTCCGCAGGTTCCACTACCTAGAGAAGGCGGTCGAGACTGCGCAGCGGAGCACCCAGGGCCGGGATTTTTGTACGGTCCCAGAGAGGGTGGGGCTTCTCCCAGGGCTGAGCTGGGTGAGCGTGCGTGCGTGCGTGTGTGTGTGTGTGTGTGTGTGTGTGTGTGTGTGAGTGTGTGCAAAAGCCGCCCACTGGAGCCCTGCCCGGATGGTATCGTACCCGCACCAGTGTCCTGACTGGCGACCCAGCAGAATGGTGATGCGCGGGAAAAGGGGCGGCCTCAGGCAGGGAGGTGGAAAGGCAGGGTCCCGAGGTCGGGTCCAATGCTGGCTCTGGGCTGCCCCCGACCCGCCGGCTCCACCATCACCCCGCAGCTAGTCAGGCATCCATCCCTCCACCCGCGGGCGCGCGTACTGGCCCCTTGCCTGCCGGTCCGGTTCCTCGGTTGCCTGTTGAACACTTAACTTTGACGAGCCAGTTCAAGGGTCACCTATTTGGTGAGCTCTTCACAGACTCTCACAGGTAGGAGTGAATGCTCCTGCCACTGGGGGCGCCACCCCATCACAGCCCTGTAACATCCAGCCCTTGACAGGACCTCTCCCAGACCAGTTCCTAGCGAGGGGGTGTACACAATGTGAAGCCCCCCCCCTTTTTTTTCACTGCTCTGATTGGAAGCCAGCCGCCACCACTTCCTGGTGTTGCAGCTTTGAGCAAGTTACTTAATCTTTTCCAGCCTAAATTCACCCATCTGCAAGATGGAGCTATGAATAGAGCTTTGTGGAAATTACATGTCTTTTTAATGAATAAAATGAGTTAATAAATATCGAGTGCTTACTCTAGTAGGCAGGTAGTAAGCTCAATAGACGCTAGCTTCCAGTAACAACCTTTGGACCTCCCTACTGGCCCTAAGACAGTTCCAGGCAGCCAACCCAGTGCTTCATTCAATTACATACCCCCAATTCCTAGCCCAGCCCTTGTCAGTTATGTAATGTAAATAGTGAAACAATGCAAAGATGTTTAGAGAACATACAAACTTCCCCTTGATTTCCTCTATTGCCCTCTCTGTAAGGTAACTCATGTTACCAGGGAGTATTTACACTTTCACTCCATTCTCCGTAACCTTTCACGTACATAGAGAAGGCTGTTTCCCCCTGTTTTTACAAAAACAGGACCACTCTAAAGGTGGTACTCTGAACCTTTTTCTTTTCTGCTTTAACATCATGGGCATCTCTCCAGGTAAACAGACACAGATATAACTCGTTACCTACAAAGTTCATGGCTAATATTCCATGATTTGGGTGTATAATAATTTACCCCAAAGTTGAAGCTGTTTTTAGTCTTACTTTGCTTTGTCATTATCAACCAGGCTGTGATAAATATCCCTGTATGAAGCACTTTCCATTCTAATGCTTTTATTCTTATATGCTAAATTCCCAAAGTAAGATTGTTCGGTCAAAGAATATGTTTTTGATGTATTAGGTTGCGTCATATGAAACAGTTGATATTCAACCATTTGACCTAAAGAAATATCAATGTTGTAAGGTTAGACCTAATATATTGTCAATGACGTTGCCAAAATATTGCAGCAATTTCCATTCCTGCCATCAATGTATGAGTTTCCATTACCTAAAGACAACATCGGGACTGAAGTTACCGTAGCATTCGCCTTTTGCCCGTCTGATGAGTGTGAATGAGCTTATGCCCTCCATCCTTGCTGAGACCATGAACTTAGATCTGACATTTATATTCGTGCCCTTGCACCCCCCTGTATCATTTATGGTATTTTTTTTCCTCTCAAGTTATACTACCTTCATACTGGGTTAAAAAATAAGGCAGATGTATTGGCTCCGGTGACTGAAAAGTCCAGAGGTAGGATGGGCTCCAGGGCGGGTGTGAATCATGACCTGGCATATTTCATGCTGCTACACTGCTTTCCATGACGTCAGCATAATTCTAAGACTTGCTTTCTCATGGTGACAGGATGACTGCAGGAACTCTGTGACCTACAAGAGAGAAAACTAGGCATGTTCCCAAACTCCTAGCTGATCTCCCCTGACTCTCCTTGTTTGGACTGCCTCTAAACCGATCTCTGGGCAATTAAAGACAGAAAAGCTTAAGTCTTGATGACCTAAACCAATTATGTGTCATCAGGAATAGGATTCCTTTTTTCTCTTCGCTAGGCTTTCAATGAACAAGACACTAACAACTCCAGGAAAAGGACTTCTCAGTTTCCTCTTTAAGATAAGGTTAAACTGTAAATAAATATTAGCCAGTCTAGCATAAAAGGTTTGCTCACTTCAAAAGCTTTCGACAAAATTGTTAAAGGAAACCTGGGTGTCTCTGAGAGAGAGTATATTGCATAGCTAGGGCTGCCCCAGCAAAACACCATAGGTTGAGCAGCCTAAACAACAGAAATTTATTTCCCCATGATTAGGGAGGCTGGAAGTCCAAGATCAAATTGTCAGCAGGTTTGGTTTCTGCTAAGCCCTCGCTCCTGGCCTTGCTGATGGCCTCCCTTTTTCTGTGCCTTCACATGGACTTTCCTCTGTCCAGACACATCCCTGGTGTTTCTCTCTCTCCTCTAAGAACACCAGCCATGTTGGATTAGCCCCAACCTAACTGTCTCAGTCAAAGTCAATCATCTCTTTCAAGGGCCTGTCTCTACAAATACAGTCACATGGATAACAGCCTATTCACAGGAACTCATTTAATCTTAATTACCTCTTTAAATGTTCTGTCTCCAAATACAGTTACATTCTGAGGTACTGGGGTTGGGACTTCAACATTGGAATTTGGGGGGATCACAATTCAGCCCACAACATAGCACTGGGTTAAAATGTGATGAAGGTATACAGCGAGCTATTATGTAGCAATCAGAAGCACTGGGTTATATTTGCATGAAACAACCTGGATGAACCCTAAAAACACAATGCTGCATGAGAGAAGTAAGGAACAGAATGATGTATGTAACCGAATGCTTCTATAAATTACAAGTATATGTCCACAGCACTCATTATGCAAGAACATTTACAAAAAAACAAAACTGCACATCAAACATGTCGCAATAGTTGCTGATAGCAGAAGGAGAAAAAGAGTAGGAAATGGGGAGTTTTTTGTTTGTTTGTTTTCAAGGAACACAGATTAATGAAAGAGAGAAATTAGAGAGGGGGTGGAATCAGCAGATCAGTGGTGATAATGTGCCATAAACTCTGATGAACTCACTCCTCTGGTCCCGAGGTACAAACGCAAATATTAGTGATGAAGAAACCATGACGCCCACGCCCACCTTCTAAAGCAGGATAGTCAAAGAGAGATTTTGCCACAGTCCATGGATACAGGACAACCTACTTCCCTTTTTTACCTGAAATATTTAGTCCAAGTGGTGACATCCAATTGTAACACATCCTTTCCTGTTTGGGGCACAGAGAGTTTATGGTTTCCTCTGTTCTCTAACAGAAATATTGAAAAGGAACCAAAGTAAATAGCATATATAATTGATGACAGAGAACCAGGTATAAAGACTGTGAAGGACACCTCATGCTCAGTAGGTCGAGCGGCAGGCCATGCTGGTTCCCTGACCAGTGTGCACCCTCCCCTTTCCCCGACTTTGTTCAGGGTAGCGGTGGGCCCAGTTAAAGGACTCCGCTTTCCAGTTCCTTTGGAGCTCCTTTTGGAGCTTATTGACACCGTTCTGGTCAATAAGACATGAGCACAAATCTCACAGGTAGGGCTTTTAGGAAAGTTCTTGTTTTCCTGATTAAAATAAAAAGTAACAAAACTCAACAGACATGCATCTTTTGTCCTTTGACCTTCCTCCCTGGAATGTGGCGTGCTTCTTGGTGCAACACATTGTGTGACCATGGAGAAGAAAGCCATTCGCTATAGATGACAGTAGAGGCAGAGACTAAGAATCTGGTTTCTTGAGCCCTAGACTTCCTACTTTGGACTCCTTGTTAAGTGGGGGGCGGGGGGGGGGGGTAGTGCTTTTTAAGCCATTGTGGTTTTGGTTTCTTTCTTTTAGATTTATTTTATTAAATCATAAATGTACAAAAGCTTCTTTACACAGGCACTTAAATTTTTTAGAGGAAAAATGGTATGTCTTATTACACCATGATCCTGGTTAATAGCTTTTCAAAACTTTGAGAAAAATCTTTTCAAAGGTTTTACATGTCACCTGAAACTTACAAATTTAACATTACTGAAGAAGGAATGTTTCTATACTCTTACAAAGACCATTAGAAATAAACAACAATTGAGAAACTGACTCAAAGACATTTTTTTTACTATCCTTCCTCTACAGTAAGGTAATGTTATTAAATAATCCAATCCATTCACAGCATGGCTCTTTGCATCTGCTCTGGTGTCTTCGGCCATATATATCACTGTGTTACTAGGCACGATTGGGGTAAGAGTTTCCTTAACATTGTTTTGTCAGTAACCTGAAGTTGTCCTGTTGCCTCCGGGCTCTCAACATCTCCTATTTACACAGTGAAGTCCATGGCAAATGGGAGGCAGCTCAATACTGGCTTCTCCGTCCATAACCCCCAATCCCCCACTTCCTCCAGAACCGCAGTTTCCTCCACCGTATGGTCCCCCCATGTTCCTATTGCCACCAAAATTTCCACTCTTCCTTGGACCATAGCTAGAAGGTTGCTGGTTATAATTTCCAAAACCATTATACTTCCCACCTCCATAATTTCCTCCTTAATAGCTGTCATAACTACCTCTGGAGCCCCCACCCTTGGTTTTGCTTTCTGAAACCACTGAAAACAGCTCTGATCTTCTGGGAATGGAATAGGCGTAGCCTGTGCAACCCTGCTGGTGAGAATTTATCAAGCCCAGCTGTCTTTTAGATGAGGGAAGGGCAATTGGTCAAGATTGCCCCTCACATTAGCCCTTAGCCTGGGGGAGGGGGTGAAAAATCCAAAGATGACCTGGCACATCTGGAGTGGACTCCAAGGAAGCACATATGACTTTTCCTTACTTCAAAAGTGTCAAGGTTATCTAAGTCAAGGAAAGACTGAGGAACTCTTCTAGATTAAAGGAGACTAAAGAGACACGGAAACTA